CTGGCATGTGGTGCTGGGGGACTGAACCGCGGTCCCTGTGCTTTGCTAAGCCTGTTTTAAGTAGGTGCTTTAGACCACTGAGCCATCTCACCAGCCCCATGGACATATTCTAAAAAAAAAAATTAATCTTATATCACACACCAGGAGGCACAAATATTAATTTGAGAACACAGACTGTGAAGCTATTGGAACGCAGAACAAAAATACTGAACTGGGAGACAAAAGTTTCTTGGATGAGGAGCCACCAAAATAACACGCATAAAGAAAAATAGGAATCCTACATCATCAGGCGGACGTGCTGTCGCAAGCCTGTAATCTCAGGATTCTCAAGGCTGAGACAGGAGGGTCACTGTGTCAGGGGCAGCCTGGGCTCAAAGTGAGCTCAAGGCCGGCCTGAACTGCATAGTGAGATCCTGTCTCAAAAAACAAAAACAAGTTGCAGCCCTATAGTAAAGGCTAGTAAGAGCCAATTAAGGAAACGAGGAGACGGGAGTTTCTGAAGGTTTGGAGGAGGGATGATGGGGGAATTTGCTCCGTGGTTCTTTTTCTCTTTCTCGCTTTATTTATTTATTTATTTATTTTTGAGACAGGGTCTCGCTCTGCAGCAAGCTCAGGTTGGCCTTGAGCTCAGTTTGTCGTCCAGGCTGGTCTCACACTGCAACAATCCTCCTGCCTCAGTTTCCCCAGTGCTGAGCTTACAGGCGTGCGCCACCACGCCCGGTCACTCCATGGTTTCTGTTTATCTCCGTTCAATGAAGCAACCGGGCTGGCGGAAAGCCAAGCTCTGAGGGTCAGCGGAAAGCCGTCTCGGCAGTGGGGTGTGCACTGCACAAGGCGGCCCCACTGGGACCTGGGAGACCGCGACAGCCGACTCTAAAATCCTACAGGGCGCCGCTGTCACGTGATAGGACAGCTGTTCCTGACGTCATCGACCCGCGATCCCGACGTGCTTTGATGACGTATTCCCGGAAGTGCGCTCTCGGCGGGGACCAGAAAATCTCCTCCGCTTCCTCCCCAGCGCTGGACAGGCGAGGGCTGGCCAGTTGACTTCCCGGCTTTTCTTACTGATTTCTCCGGTGCTTCTCGAATCGCGCGGCGAGGACACATTACCACTACCATGGGGGGCGGGGACTTGGTAAGTGGGGGTTAGGGCTGGGCCTGGCCAGGGACCCAGTGCCGCTGGGCATGGAAATTGGCAGAGGTGGGGGTGGCAAGAAGGGCTGGTAACGAGTCACCATAGTAACGAAGCCAGGCAGTCAAGCCCCTGGAGAGGGGGCGGGTCCGTAGGACCACAGGGCTGGGGCTGGCGCGGGCACTTGGGAAAGCGCCTGGGAATGGTGGCTCGTGATGTCTGCGTGCTGGTTGGTGGATATTGACAGCATGGCACACGAGTTTTTACATTTCAAAATTATTATTATTGTCTTTTTGAGATAGGGTCTCGCTGTGCAGTTCAGGCAGACTTTGCGCTCTTTTTTTTTTTTTTTTTTTTGGTGGAACCCGGGATTGAACTCAGGCCCTTGCCAGGCAAGCGCTTATTCTACTGAGCTATCTCCCTGGCCCCTTTGTGCTCATTTTGTAGCCCAGGCTGGTCTCGAATTCAAAACGATCCTCCTGCCTCAGCCTCCTGAATGCTGGGATTACTGGTGTACGCCACAACACTCAGTTTAAACTTAATTATTAAGAGACTGGGCGTGGTGGCGCACGCCTGTAATTCCAGCTCTTGGGAGACTGTGAACAGGCAGATCACTACGAGTCTGATCTAGTAGTGAGATCCTGAACACCCTGTAAACCCTTCACTAACATAAAATTAAAAAAAAAATTAATTTTGGTGCTGGGGTGCTCGCTTCGGCAGCACACATTAATAATAATTTCAGTGCTGGCGATCATATTCCAGGTGCTGGTGTCACTGAGCTACACCCCAAGCCCAGCTTTGTTTCCTTCATCTTGTCTCGGGACGTTTTCCCTTCTTAGCTAGCTCCGAGCCCTGTGTGGGGCTGGAGCAGGGGTCGCTGGGCCGGGTTCTCCCTGCTGTCCAGCCGGGCCTTGGAGGGAGTCTCAGGCCCACGTTGCAGGCTTGCCTTCCGACAGCAGTGCCGCCTTCCGGTTCATCTGTAGTGACAATGCTTTCTTCTGCAGTCACAGCACTTACATGCGTGGCGATTGCTCTGCTGTGCTGTAGTTCATTTGCTTGGGAGTAAGGCCTTAGGTTGGGCAAACGGTGCTGTGCAGGCCTGGGAAATGCTCACCTTGCCAAGTGGAGGAGCGAGCCAGCCAGTGGGGCAGCCCAGACGTCTGTCCAGAAGCTGGGTTAGAGTTTGTCAGGTGCTGTCAGCCTAGGTTCCAGAACGCCAAGGTTCATGTAGTTTAGTGCTTTCTTCAGATAACTGCATTTCAACTTGGCTCTTTTCCCCAAGTTACGCTGTTGACAGTTTAGCTCTTTACCTGTATTGTTCTGAGTGTGTGTGTGTGTTGAGGCTGATGTTCAGCGGCATTGCTGGACCCAGTAGCACCTTCCTTCCCCAGCTGTGACAAAGAACACTGTTCTTCTCTTTGCCCTCCAGAGGGCTCCCCCTCCCTCTCCCCACCACTGCAGCCTGCTGCTTTGGCCCCAGGTGGAAGGAGTACAGTCAAGCAGAACTCTTTTTTTTTTTTTTTTTGTGGAACCGGAGATTGAACTCAGGCCCTTGCTCTTGCCAGGCAAGGACTTATTGTACTGAGCTATCTCCCCAGCCCTCAAGCAGAACGCTTGCCGGGCTTTTCTCCTTCCTTAACTGCCACTTCCTTAGTCAGACCATGTAGCCCTTTCCCTCTTTTACCAGTTCTCCTTCCTTCTCTCACCATGGCCTCCTGGTCCCGATCTTGTCTTCTCTTAAATTTGTACTGATCCCCCTGCCTCAGCCTCCTGAGTGTGCCACCATGCTGCACTATTTTTGTTTTATTGTTTTGCTGCAAGCGCTTGGCCCCAAGCTGCCCCCTACGCCGACGTCTGGTCCGTGTTGCCGCCTTGGCACACCCACGGGTGGCAGTATGAGTGAGGCAGGGTCGCATGCATGCAGCTGAATTGTAGTCTTGTCTCCGCTGCTGCAGAACTTGAAGAAGAGCTGGCACCCGCAGACGCTGCGTAATGTGGAGAAGGTGTGGAAGGCCGAGCAGAAGCATGAGGCTGAGCGGAAGAAGATTGAGGAGCTGCAGCGCGAGCTGCGGGAGGAGCGGGCCCGGGAGGAGATGCAGCGCTACGCGGAGGACGTGGGTGCCGTCAGGTGAGTCAGTCGTGGCGGGTGGTGGCGTCGCGGGCTGTTGGAGCCAGCCTGGCTGGCTGTGCAGAATGGCATTGCGCGGGGCAGCACTGCTGCTGGGAGGGGCCTGAAGCTTCAGTAGAGCTGGGAAAGTCACAGTTCTGAGTCCTCAGGTCCTTCGAGGGCCCGGTAGGAGGGCTTCTCCTGCGCCTTGCTCCTGGGGAGAGGTGACAGACACCACGACTGAAGAGCGCTGTCCCCACTCTGCCACCAGTGTGTGTAGGCCTCCGCCTTGCTTTTGTGAATGCATTGAGTGTGTGTGTGTGTGTGTGTGTGTGTGTGTGTGTGTGATGAGGCTGATGTTCAGCAGCGTCGCTGGACTCAGTAGCACCTTCCTTCCTTCTTTGTCAGTTGTGACAAGGAATGACCTGGCTAACTGGGTTGTTAAATGAGGAGTATCTGTATGTTACTATATTTTATATACTTTGTGTAACTTATATGCACTTTTATGATGTGAATAAATTCCACAGATTAGAGGTGATTCCTGGGCAGTTTACAAAGTGAACATGATGGTCTGGTGAGATGGCTCAGTGGTCTAAAGCACCTACTTAGATCAAGCTTAGCAAAGCACAGGGACCGCGGTTCAATCCCCCAGCACCACATGCCAGCCAGCCCCGCCCCCTGGTGGGCTGAGCTGGCCACACACACACACACACACATAAATAAATAAAATTAAAAAAAAAATCTTTAAAACAAAGTGAACATGAATTGTGATATACGAAGATTTAGACTTTGTGAACTCTTGATTTGAAAGCATTTTGGGTTCTTTTGTTTTGTTTTGTTTATTGTCTTTTTGAGACAGGGTCTCACTATGCAGTTCAGGCTGGCCGTGAACTCACTTTGTAGCCCACGCTGGCCTGGAACTTGCAGCAATCCTCCTGCCTCAGCCTCCTGAGTGCTGTGTGCCATCATGCCTGGCTTAGCATATAAATTTAATTTCCTGTTAAGCAAAGGTAGTAATTGTTTTGATGCTAGTAATTACTATTACTATTTGCAGCACCAGGGATTGTATCCAGGGCCTTCACACTGAGCTATACCTCTACTCTTTTTTAATTTTTGATTTTTAAGACAGAGGTGCTAAGTCACTAAATACCCTGGCTGCGTCACTTCCCTGAGCGCTGTGGTTACTGGTATATAGCACCATATGCAACTGTTGGGAAACTTTTGTTCACCAAAGCACGACCTGTTGCATGCCAGAAGTGTGACATGCCAGCTTTTGGGTGTGTTGGACTTGTAATTAAGGAAGCCGTGGTGTATAGATCAGCAGCTCCAGTGCGGGGAATCTGCCATTTGTCCCGTTTGTTTTTGACCCCAGGCCTTGGCACTGAGCCACCGCACTTCATCCCCAGTCCGGTTTCTGCTTTTGTAAACTTTGGAGGCAGGGTCTGGTCGCGTTATCTAGGCTGAGCTCCAGCTAGGCTCTCCTGCCTCGCATTTGTCCTGCACCATGTGTCGGCTGTGAATGGGAGGGGTGATCTCAGGCCCTGTCTGGCACACAGCCTGGCTGTCCGAGCCAGGCTGACTTCAAGCTGCCCTGCTCCTGTCGCAGCTTCCCAAGCGCGGGCTTCAGAGCCTGCGCCCCGCGCCTGCTGCCTCTGTGTGGCACACGGGACAGCTGTGCTTGGGGTCTGCAGTGTCCCGGACTCCCCCCCCCCCAGCTCTCATGGGCAGCCTTGGTGATCCCTGGGCTGGTGTAGCCCTGCCCACCCGGGCTGTGTGTGTCCCTGCTCCTCTCAGGCCCTTGGGAGGCGGCTGAGTGGATGTGTACGGGTGGGTCAGTGTCTAACCCCAGCCCCTGGCCCTGCTGGTGTATGTGTAGCTAGCTGGGGCGCCCCAGGGCAGGGAATGTGCTCACTGGACTCTGCCTTTCCTGTGGCTCTGGCTTGGGGTTCCGAAAACTCAAGAGGCTTAGGCATTAAGCTTAAGTGTATGAGACCACCCTGAGCAACTGTGACACACCATCTCTTGGGGACTTTTTACACAGCAGGGTGGTTGCCAGCCCAGACTCTTGTAGATGCTAGGCAAATACTTGTGAGAGGCTGCTAGGCAAATACTTGTGAGAGGCTGGCTGGCTTTCTTTCTTTCTTCTTTTTTTTTTTAATTTTTATTTATTTATTTATGTATTTTGTGTGTGTGTGTGGCCAGCTCAGCCCACCAGGGGGCGGGGCTGGCTGGCATGTGGTGCTGGGGGATTGAACCGGTCCCTGTGCTTTGCTAAATTTGTTCTAAGTAGGTGCTTTAGACCACTGAGCCATCTCACCAGCCCTCTTTCTTCTTTCTACTTGGTTTTGTTATACATTTCGGGAGAGGCAGGCTGGCTGGCTGGCTGGTTTTCTTTCTTTCTTTCTTTCTTTCTTTCTTTCTTTCTTTCTTTCTTCCTTTCTTCCGAGACTCGGTCTTGCTATGCAGTTCATCCGGGCCTTGAACTCACTGCGTAGCCCAGGCTGGCCCCAAACTCATGGCAGTCTTCCCCTCTGCCTCCAGAGAGCTGGGATGGCAAGTGTGCGCCACCACTCCCAGCCCTGCTGGCATCTGGTTTTGTATGTAGGTCTGGAGGCATCTTCATTTTCTTTGCTTGCGCTTATCTGTCTCTGACCAGGAAGAAAGAGGAGAAGCTGGACTGGATGTACCAGGGGCCTGGTGGGATGGTGAGCCGCGACGAGTACCTGCTGGGCCGCCCCATTGATAAGTATGTGTTTGAGAAGATGGATGAGAGGGAGGCTGGCTGCTCCTCCGAGACCGGGCTGCTCCCAGGCTCCATCTTTGCGCCAGTGGGGGCCACCTCACTCCTGGACATGGCCAGCAAGATCCGCGAGGACCCACTCTTCATCATCAGGTGGGCCGACTGCACTGTGAGGCTGATGGTGTTGCCTGGGTGTCACCTCTCTGCGGCGAAGGCTCTGCCAGTCTTGGGAAGGAGCAGGTCCCGGATGAGGGCCTGGCCCAGGCCATATGGGAGAGGCCAGCAGAGTACAATGCCAGGCCAGACCTGGCCTGTTCACTTATCTTCTTGCCATGCAGTTTACAAGACTGGCCTTGAGCTCACTTTGTAGACCAGGCTGGTTTCGAATTCACAGTAATCCTCCTGCCTCAGCCTCCCAAGTGCTGGGATTATTGTTGTGTGCCACTGTGCCCCGTTTATTGTTTATACTTGACTCTTAAATAAAAATAGAAGGAGAAGGGATGGGGAAGTAATTCAGAGGTCTAAGCACCTGCCTGGCAAGCGCAAGGACCTGGGTTCAGTTCCTAGTACCACGTACTGTGCCAGCCCCTGAAACCTGGGAGTGCTGTGCCAGCCATTGAAACCCAGCATGGTGGCGCATGCCTGTAATCCCAGCAATGGGGAGGCTGAGACAGGAGAATCATACAGGTATGAGCTGAGTAGCGAGACCCTGTACTAAATAAATAAATAGATTAAATTTTTTTTTTTTTTTTTTTCAGAACCAGGGATTGAACTCAGGCCCAGGGAAGCACTTATTCTAATGAGCCATCTCCCCGGCCCCCCAAAAATTTTTTTTAAAGAAATAGAAGTAGAAGCCAAGTGGGACCTGTAAGATAGCTCAGCAGACCAAAGTGCCTGCTTATGCAAGCTTAGGCAAGTGCAGGGACCACAGTTCAATCCCTGGCACCACATGCCACGCCAGCCCCGCCCCCAGGGTGGGTAAGCCGGCCAGAGTCCAGGCGTAGTGGTGCACGCCTGTGATCCCAGAGCTGGGGAGGCTGAAAGCAGGAGGATCTCCACGAGTCCGAGCTGTGTAGTAAGACCCTTCAATAACCAAATACATAAAAAAAAAGAAGTAGAAGCCAAATGACAGGTAGATCGAAATTTGGAGGTGCATGTAGAGCTGTGGAGGTGGTACACAGGCTTTCTTGCTTCCCATTTCTCTTTTTTACAGGGGGCGGCAGAAGCCTTTATTTGTTTACTTTGGTACTGGCAATGAGCTCGGGACCTTGTGCTCGCCAGGCAGCGCCGGCCACTGAGCACCTCCCAGCAGAAAGTACCACCTGCTTTGCAGCGGATGTATAGCGGGGGCAGCGCTGCTGGACGGGGGCAGCGCGTACTGCACACGTTGTTGCTTCGTTTGGTTGAATTTGCAGCCTGCTTTTGTCTCTTTTTCAGTGTCTTATGTGAGCCTGTGATTCCCCCGCTTCAGGGTTCCAAGGCTGGGCTTGCAGGCGCGCACTGGCCCTGTGCAAAGCCTGGTGCATGTGTGTGAGAAAGGACTGGGATGTAGCTCCATGGCAGCACACCCTGGATCTGGTGCTCGAGAGCACTTGTGCACATACACACACATGTGCACACACATACGTGTGCACCATTGCTCAGCAAGTAGCTTTTGGGATGCCGTAGCCAGGGTACCCGCTGGGTGACAGTGTTTGCTGGCCCAGCGAGGCAGCCCCAAGTGCTGAGTCCAGTGAGCAGCAGGTGGAACTCACCTGTGTGCCCCATGTCCCCCAGTGTAGGCGCCTGTTATGTGGATTCAGGGCCCAGATGTCCCCTCTGGCCCTGTGTATGTGGGCTTTGGAAGAAAGATTGTCACCTGGACTCTGCACAGGAGAATGATTAACTCCCTTTTCCAAAAGACAAAGTCATGATTTTGTTTGGTTTGGTTTGTTTTGTTTTGCGGAACTGGGGATTGAACTCAGGCCCAGGGCCTGAGTTTTATGCTTGCCAGGCAAGCGTTTATTCTACTGAGCCATCTTCCTGGCCCCAAAGTCATGATTTTATAAATTCCTCTTATTTAGGAAGAAAGAGGAGGAAAAAAAACGAGAGGTATTGAATAACCCCGTGAAAATGAAGAAAATCAAGGAACTGGTAAGTTGTGCCTAGGATAAGCATAAAGAGTTCCCTTTACCTACTTCCCTGAGGGTTTCTCTCCACTTCCTGTTACTGTAGAGGGATGGTTTAGAGGAAAAACAGGTTTTTAAATTTTAATTCTCAAGTGCTGGCCAAATAGCTCAGCAGATGAAAGTGCCTGCAAGCAGGCCCTGGGGCTGGGGGTTTGATCCCCAGGCCTACTGTGCCGACCCCGCCCTGAGGGCGCACTGAGAGGACAGTTGAGACTGGGCGTGGTGGCGCACCAGTAATCCCAGCTCTTGGGAGGCTGTAAACAGGCAGATCACTTGGAGTCCGTTCTAGTAGTGAGACCCTGAACACCCTGTAGACCCTTCCCTAAAATATAAAAGATAAAAATGAATCTTCATTCTTTTTAGTTTTCGAGACAGGGTCTCACTATGTAGCCCAGGCTGGCTTTGAACTCTTTTTTTTTTAAAGACTTTATTTTATTTATTTATTTATTTTAATGACATCTTTTTTTAAAAAATATTTATTTATTTTTATTTATTACATTTATTTATTGTGTGTGTGTGGCCAGCTCAGCCCACCAGGGGGCGGGCTGGCTGGCATGTGGTGCTGGGGATCGAACCACGGTCCCTGTGCTTTGCCAAGCTTGTTTCAAGTAGGTGCTTTAGACCACTGAGCCATCTCTCCAGCCCTGGCTTTGAACTCTTGGTGATCCTCCTGCCTTAGCATCCCTAGTGCTGAGATTACAGGCAGGTGCTACCACCCCTGGCTGAAGCACTTTTGAATGGGAAGCACGGGGAGCCCTGGACAGTGGTTCTGGGAGCTTGTACATCCAGATCCGCAGGCTACCCTGAGAGGTTCTGCTCCGGAGTCTAGGGTGGCAGGGCTACAGCCCGTGTCTCCCCTGGTGCCCTGCGCCCCAGAGAGGATGAGACGGCGGCCTGTGGGGGTCCCTTTCATTTTGTACATCGGGTCCTCAGGACCAGGGGGCGGGGCTGGCTGGCATGTGGTGCTGGGGGACTGAACCTCGGTCCCTGTGCTTTGCTTAGCTTAGCTTGTTCTAAGTAGGTGCTTTAGACCACTGAGCCATCTCACCAGCCCTCTCTGCATTTTCTAGTTGCAAATGAGTCTAGAAAAAAAGGAGAAGAAGAAAAAGAAGGAGAAGAGAAAGAAGCACAAAAAACACAAGCACAGGAGCTCGAGCAGCAACCGGTCCAGCAGCGAGGACGAGCCCAGCCGGGGAAGGTGAAGGCGGAGGCCGCTGCAGTGCTGGCTACTGCCTGGTTCTGCCCTTCTGGTGGAGACACTGGGCGAGGGCCTGCGACCTACTAAGGGGCCGCCGAGTGCAGGCAGGGCTGGCAGGGCCCTGCGTGAGCTCACTTGAGCCTTGCAGACACAGGGAGGGACAAGGTTCCATGCCCTGGCGGATGCCTGCTTTGCTCATCGGGTCCTCAGGACGGAGGGGGTTGTTTTGGGGGTATTTGTTCGTTATGTACTTCGTACAGGGTCTACAGGATCATACTCCACAGATCGGACTCGTAGTGATTTTCCTGTTTTCAGCCTCCCAAGCACTGGGATTACAGGCACGCGACACCATGCCATCTCAGCACGCCCCTGGGGTTGGGGCTGGCACGGCCTGCCGGGGATGGAACCTCTGTCCCTGTGTCTGCCTGCGCAGGCATTTTAGTGTGCTGAGCTATGTGGCTGACCCCTTCAGGCTCGTCTGGGACAGTCTCACTTCGTAGTTCAGGCTAGCCTTGTACTTATGGAGGTCCTTCTGCCTTAGCATCCCTTGTTGAGATGACAGGCATGCACCCTCATGCCTAGGTTTGAAGTGTCTTTTGTTATTGTCATTTTGTCTTTTTGAGACAGTCTTGGTACGTATTCAGGCTGGCCATGAGCACACTTTGTAGTGTGATTTCAAATTTGCAATGATCCTCCTGCCTCAGCCTCCCAAGTACTGGCATTACAGATGTGTGCCACCACAGCTGGCTGACGTGGGTTTTATGTAGCCTTTTTTTTTAATGGATTAATGAGCCTGTGTGGGCCCAACCTGTGTCTGTGCTGTGGGAAGAATCAGCTCTGCTGAGCTGACTCATGCTCAGACCCCAGAATAGCAGCCTGAGGTGAGAGGCTGCGCCCACGGCGCCTGCCAGGGAAACCTGCCAGGTGATGCAGCTTCCGGTGCAGACGTCCTGGACAGTGCTGACGGCGAGAGCTGGGGGCGGATGGCTAGTGCTCGGCACCGGAGACTTGCCGGGCGCGGGCGTGTTGCTTTCTCAGTGAGTGTGTTTGTTTGAATCTTAGGTCTCAAAGGAAGGTGACGACGGACTCCTTTCCAGTGTTGTCCAAAGTCCCTGGCTATGGCTTACAGGTAGGGCCCTGGGCTTCTCTGGAGCTGCGGCCCTGGCTGGCAAGGAGCTCTGAGCAGGGCTGGCTCTCCAGCCCTGTGTCAGTCACTGAAGAGAAACCTCGAGCTTTAAGTGCACTAAATGCCTTCCGGGTGCTTTGCTTTGGGTGGTCCTGGGTTTTGAACTCAGGGCCTTTGCACTGAGCTCCATCGCCAGCCCGTTTTAAAGATTCTTTGAGCTAGTGTCTTGCTAAGTTACTGCGCTGCTGAAGCTGGGCAGAAGTTTCAGTCTTCCTGCCTTGTCTTCCCAGCGCCCTTGGGTTTGCCACCGCCGCCCCACCCTGTCCTCTGCTCCTGCCTCCAAGTAAGCTTCCTGTCTTCTCTCCCCATCAGGTCAGGGACTCTGTCCGGGACCGGGGCTCCCAGGGCCCTGGGGTGGCTGAATCGAAGGGCACATCCAGGTCGAATGACCGGTCTAGGTCCCCAAGCTCCTCTCACTCCCCGCCTAGACGCACCAGCAAGAGGAGCCCCAGGGACAGGAGGTCCCGGTCCCCACAGGGCAGCAGAGTGTAAGTGTGGGCACCCCGGGGTGTGACCTGCAGCCCCGCGGAAGACCATGCTTAGGACGCTGTGTCCTGCTCGTCCTGCAGGCACAATGGAAAGGGTGGCCGCAGAGCACGAGCCCCAACCCGGAGCCCATCCCCGTCCCTATCCCCGAAGAAGGAGGTCTTCCAGCAGCGGCGCACACCTGGCTATACCAGGTGAGGTGGTCGATGGGGACCTGGGGCTGCAGGCCGGTGGCGCAGGGCCCTGGGCAGTCTGTCCCCATCTCAGGCACATGAAGGAGCGAGGGTCAGTTCTGGTTTTTCTTTTTGTTGTATACAACATATTTATTTATTTATTTATTTATTTATTTATTTATTTATTTTGTGGCTGGCTCAGCCTGTCCCGGGAAGGGGCTGGCAGGCATGTGGTGCCAAGGATTGAACCACGGTCCTTAGTCTTGCCTAAGCAGGTGCTTTAGACTGCTGAGCTATCTTGTCAGCCCGCTTTTGTTTTCTTTTTCTTTCTTTCTTTCTTTCTTTTTTTTTTTTTTGCGGAACCGGGGATTGAACTCCGATCCTTGCGTTTGCCAGTCAAGCACTTATCCTACTGAGCCATCTCCCCAGCCCCCCACTTTTGTTTTCTACTACAGGAGATTGAACTGTGATAGGCAAGAGTTTTACCACTGTACATCTTTAGCTTTATTTATTTATTTATTTTGGTGGAACCGGGCTTTGAACTCAGACCCTTGCGCTTGCCAGGGAAGCATTTATTCTACTGTGCCATCTCCCCAGCCCCATCTTTAGCTTTTTTTAAAACTTTGCTTGGAGACAAGATTTCCTTAAATTGCCCAGACTGGGCTTCGTTTTGTAATCTTTCTGCCTCCGCCTCGCAAACCACTGCGATTACTGGTGTGTGCCTGTGCTCGCAGCCGCAGCCGGGGTGTTCCTTGAATTGCATGAGGAGTGAGGAGTGGCTCAGGGCACAGTGATGTTTGGCCCCAGGCGCTGCGGAAGCGCTGTCCCTAGGGGTCCGGGCCCGTGGACAGAGCCTGGACAGAGCCGCTGCCGCTTGGTGAACTCGCTTTGCTGTTCAAAGCGTGTGTAGACCAGAGTTCCCAGATAGGTTGCTGTGCATTGTAATTACCCGGAACACTTAAGGAGTCCAGCCTGACCCTGAGCACCTGTGACCCTTGCCACTTGGGAGGCTGAGGCCGGAGGAGTGCAAGTTGAGGCCAGCCCAGGCAACTTGAAACTCTTGCCTCAAAAAATAGCTAAAGGGGTTGGGGAGATGGTTCAGTAGAATAAGCACTTGCTTGGCAAACGCAAGGGCCTGAGTTCAATCCCTGACTGCACCAAAAAAAGAAGGCTGGAGGTACAGCTCAGCAGCCTGTGGGTTCCATCCCTGGGACCCTAACAGCACAACAAAGCTCAGTGCCTATCTAACCCAATCCTGTTACGTCCTCAGCTTCAAGGTGGATGTTGCTGTATTCTTCGCAGTCCTAGTGATTGCGCTCAGGGCCGGGGCACTGAGCTACGTCCCCAGCACTTTTAAATTTCAAGAGAGTTTCAGTATGTTGCTAAATTGCTCAGGCGGGGCTCGAACTTGGGATCCTCCTCCTTCATGCCTCAGAGTGTTGGGATGACCCAAGCCCTGGCCCACACACTAGCAGTTCTGGAGCCAACGTGCAGTTCAAGTGCAGAGCAGGTTTTGTTCTTGTCACCTGAGCTGCCCCACTCCCCAGTGGTCAAGGAAAGCCATTTGGAAAAGGCACATCATTGAGAAAGGCAGCTCTGCGCATCTTGCCTTCCCAGGTGGCGCTTGTGTCTGGTGGTGGGGCTGCGCGCGGCTGGCCCGTCCTTCCCGCCGCCCTTGGTGCTGCAGCGGGCCTGGACTTTCGTCTCTTCCAGTGCTCGAGTGGGTGGCGTGTAACCGTCTTGCACATCCTGTCTCTTGCCATCTGCTGTTGCTTGAATTTGTCTTATTTTATCACCGGTTCTCATGGTGCTGAGAGCTTATTTACTTGTTTATTTTTCTTTATGGTACTGAAGATTCAACCCAGAGTCTCTGCACTGAATCACCCTCACAGCTCTTTTTCATTTTTCTTTTTTTGGGGGAGGGTCTTTTTGAGACAGGGTCTCGCTATGCAGTTCAAGCTGGCCTTGAGTTTGCTGTGTAGCCCAGGCTGGTCTCAAACTTGAAAAGATCCTCCTGCCACAGCCTCTGAGTGCTGGGATTACAGGTGTGTACCACCATGTCTGGCTTTCTCTTTATTTTCAAAATTTTGAGCAGGGTCACTAAGTTGCCCTATGTAGATTCAATCTCGCATTTTCCTGCCTCATCCTTCCTCAGTGCTGGGATTATAGGCATGGTGGCATCATGCCCAACTGAGATTATCTTTTTTAGTACTGGACATAGAACTCAGGACCTTGTGCTTGCCAGGCAGGGGCTTATGCCACTGAGCTATATCCCCAAGCCCCCAACTGAGATTCCTTTTTATGTATGTATGTATGTATGTATGTATGTATGTATTTATTTATTTATTTTTGGGCAGAACCAGAGATTGAATTTAGGCCCTTGCTTATTCTACTGAGCTATCTCCCCGCCCTCCCCCCCTTTTAAATATATTTAGTTGTTATAGGGTCTTACTACGCAGCCTGGGCTCCTAGTGGTCCTCCTATTTTCAGCCTCCCCAGCACTGGGATTACGGGGAAATGCCACTGTGCCGGAAGGGGCCGGGCCGGTGCTGCACGTGGTGCCAGCGTACGCTTGCCGAAGCTTGCCTAAGCAGGCGACGTAGTCCACTGAGCCATCTCACCAGCCCCCAACTCAGATTCTTGATTTAAAATTTTTTTGTTGACTGAGACTATTTTTTATCATTGATTTTTTTTTTTTTTACTTGTGGTAATCCCATTTAATTTTATATTAATTCCATTGCTTTTTAAATTTCTTCCAAGCAGCATGTCTCCTTTTTTTTGTGGCATCAGGACTTGAACCCAGAACCTTTGCACTGAGCTGTATATCCCCACTTATTTTTTTGTTTTTGTGTGACAGGGTCTTTCTAAGTTGTACCCAAGCTGGGCTCACATTTTTTTTTTTTTTTTTTTTTTTTTTTTGTTCCTCGAATGCCTTCAGGGCACTTTTGGCCAGCGGGAGAGGTGTGAGGTTCGAACTCCAGCAACCTGAGGCTGACAGCTTTGTGGAAGCAGCCACTTAAAAGGCCTGAGCTAGGGCCAGGCCCCCTGGGCTCACATTTGAAATCTTCCTGCCTCAGCTTCTCAGACTGCTGGGATTACAGGCATGTGCCACCATGCATGGTGAAGGAATTGGTAATTAAAATACCTATGCTCAGCACAAACCTACTGCCATCAAGTTATAGCTTAGATGTGGCTGCATCTGCTGTTGGTTTGTAAACTGCCTAGAACAAAAGTGGCAAAAGCACTCAGCGTCTTTACTGCTGAGATTACAGGTGTGAGCCACCATACCAGGCTGAAAATGGAAGCATTCCTTCATTCTTTGCAGTTACTATGGAGTTGCGGTTTGTTCAATATTTTATGTTGTTTTTGTTTCTTTTTTTTTTTTTTTTTTTCAATTTTTCTTTCAATTTTTTTTTTTTCAGAACCAGGGATTGAACTCAAGCCCTTGCACTTGCCAGGGAAGCGCTTATTCCACTGAGCCATCTCCTCGGCCCTTTTTTTTGATTTTTTAGTCAAGTGAATATGCATGCAATTTTCAAAGTCATGTAGTATTAAAAAATCTATTTTTTAAAAAAATTTAGTACAGGGTCTATAAGGTCTTACCACACAGATTGGACTTGTAGTGATTCTCCTGTTTTCAGCCTCCCAAGCACTGGGATTACAGGTGTGCACCACCATACCCAGTCTGACTCTGTCTCAGCGCCCCCCGGGGAGGCAGGGCCGCATGGCATGCCGGGATCGAACCCCAGTCCCTGCATCTGCCTAAGCAGGTAACTTAATCCACTGGGCTATCTGGCCAGCCCTTGAAAAATCTTTTTTTGTTTGTTGTTGTTTTTTTTTGTTTTGCTTTTTTGAGACAGGGTGTTGCTGTGTGGCCCAGCCTGCCTCAGCCTCCCAGGTACTAGGATTATAGACTTGTAGTGCCATGCCTGGCAGTCTGAGGTTCTCTTGCCCTCTCTGCTGTTTCACCCTCTCAATGAGTGGCTGTTGCGGGGGGCTGGGGCTGGACACCACTGTGGGCACATAGGGTGACCTTCCAGGACGGGTCCTGTGTTGCAGGCAGCCCAGCTGTGGCATCCCAGAGAGCATGGAGCCCGTGGGGGTGGCATCCTTGCAAGCTGCCAGGGCCTGCTTGCTGTTGCGCTGCACCTCCTGCCCCATCTCCTCCTGTCTGGCTGCTCTGGGGCTCTCCTGTGAGGTCTCCAGGGTGGCCCTGCCGTCCCAAGGTGGGCAGAGCCAGGCCATCCCGTCTGCCCCTGGGACAGGTGCTAAATGCTGGCCTTCCCCTGGCTGCTCTCCTGCAGACCTTGTGCCCACCCCCTGAGCTCTTTGCAGGGGTGGTCAGCAAGCCCTCGCCTGCCTCAGCCGCCTGAGTATGGAAACTGGCTGTGCTCCACCACTCCCAGCTTTTGGGGGCCCTTACTAAAGTTCTGAAAGTCAGCATAAAGCCAGGTGAAGTGGTGCACACCTGTAGCGCCAGCACTTAGGAGGCTGAAGCAGGAAGACTGCCATGAGTTTGAGACCAGCCTGGGCTACATAGCAAGACCCTGTGTGAAAGAAACCAAAACAAAAAAATGAATAAAATTTTGACCTGCGATTGCCTGACCAATACGAAGTCAGAGGGAAACTGACCGGCCTGGCATTTCCTCCGAGAGCGCTCTGCCAGAGACACACGCTGGCTGCAGCCTGACCTCTCACTACGCAGCTGCCTGCCGGGAGAGACTGGAGCTGACGGTGTCTGTGCTCGACAGAAAACTCTCGGCGGAGGAGCTGGAGCGGAAGCGGCAGGAGATGCTGGAGAACGCTCGCTGGCGGGAGGAGGAGCGGCTGAACACCCTCAAGAGGCATGCGCGGGAGGATGAGCGCGAGCGCCGGCTGGAGCAGCTAGACTCTCGCGATGGCAAGTTCATCCAGTGAGTGCCACCGCCTCCTGTCTGGGCCTGGAGACAGCCTTGGGGAGCCCCTCTGGTTCACTGGGTTCCTAGAGCTCTGCAGAAATCCTCCTGCCTCAGCCTCCACAATGTGGGAATCATAGGCGTGTGTTACCACTGCCGGCTTAAATTCCTGAAATTCCTTGGCCTTCTTTTTAAATAAGAATTGAAGGTCTAGGAAGTCTTTTTCACATTGAAACTTTTCCTTTTCTAAACAGATGAATTTTCCCTTGTGGATGTTTAAAAAATGTGGTTCCAGATGGAGTCACTTGAAACCTGAGTGCGTGGGCTTCAGAGAACTTGGGTTTGCGCAGCTGCTCACGGCTAGCGGCCTGCCTTTCTGAGTGCCACTGGGCTGCAGGGTGACAAGGTTCCTTCCCACTCCTGTCTTGCAGCCGCATGAAGCTGGAGAGCGCGTCCACTTCCTCCCTCGAGGATCGTGTGAAGCGCAACATCCACTCCCTGCAGCGGACCTCGGCGGCCCTGGAGAGGAATTTCATGCGGAGGTGAACCCTGCCCCTGCTGGCCTTGAGTGTGCCCGGGAGGCGCCAGCCCAGGGCCTTTTTATAAGACAGCAAGTGACTGCTTCTACAGACTCAAACCAGCACTGTCCCAAGTGACCTGGCCCCTTTGTGAGCCCGCTGAGGTGCTGAGGGGACCTGCGCGCACCCAGCCAGACTGTTCTCCCAAGCAGCGTGGTGGGGCCTGGGCTTGGATCTCCATTGCCCCCTCCACCGGTTCCACTGTCGCCGCACAGCCTGGACCTGCCTGGGACCTTTCTTGGTCACCAGTGGGTCGAGCTCGCTGTGATCCACGTGGATGATGTGACAGGACGCCCCAGCGTAGACGGACCAGGAGAGGACAGCGCAGAAAGCCCGAGGGCCTGCCGGGCTCTGAGCTGGGAGGGCCCGTGTGCACGCAGCTGTGTCACCGTGGATGCGGTTGGACCAGGCCTTCTCTGTAAATCACGTAGTAACCTTACTACAGTTATCTGCTTTGGGGAGGAGTTTGCTACCGTAGTATTTTTAGTCAGATGTTAAAGATACCGAAAGTCTCAAGGGGCAAGCTGGCCTTAATCCCAGCACTGGGGAGGCTGAGACGGGAGGATGGCTGGGAGTCAGAGGCCAGCCTGGGCTACACAGCAGACCCTGTCCCCCAACACATCTCCAGGGGCCATTCTTCATGCTAGTGTGTGTGTGCGGAGGTCAAACCGGGCCCCATCTGCACTGGGCAGGCCGCTCCGCACCTGCTGGCCGCCCTGGCCGCTGCGCTAGCCCTCCATCCTTTGTTCTCCTTCCAGTGCGTTGGGGTTTTCATTTTTCAACACTTATGATGCTTAAAACCCACCTCATCCCCAGAGAGAATGCAACATGCTCGTGTTACTCATTTCATTGCCTCATCCTGCTGCTGATGCTATGGCTAATTATGCTTTTTATTTTATTACTTGGTAATAAAGGCCACATTTATTTTTGTAACTGTGTAAAAGCGACCATGCGCCGAGTGTTGAGTTTGCATAGACCCGTGACTTGTGAATATGGGGAGAGCCTTCTTTGGGGAGGGATTATGTAACAGTGTGGGCAGGCTACTTGGGTTCCAAGCAGCGAGCCAGAGGAGACGACTGTCGGCCGACGCCGTCCCTGGGTCCAGCAACCTCCTTACTTGACCCTGGCGGGCAAAGGCCGGGCAGCAGGTGGGTGGGCGCGGAGCCCATTCATAAAACCTAGGGTTCCGGGCCAGCCCCTCTCATTGGCCCGGGGGAAAGAGGCGTGGCCCACGGTGTCGCGCGCCCTTGCTGGGGGGAGTGGGCGGGTCCACGCTCGGGTGGAGCGAGGGGGCGTTCCCCGTTCTTTGCAGACTAGACTTCCTTTTCCCCTCGTAGTGTTTCCCCTCTCTCCCCCAGCGTGGGGATGGTACGTCCCACCCTCCTCCCCCTCCCCGAGCTGCGGCGGTGTCGCCGCCATCTTGTCATCTCAGTTCGAAGGAAAGCACCGAAGTTGGGCTCTGGGGGCCCAGCCGGGGTGCCCCTGCCGCCGCACACGCGAACCTTCCCGCCCCTCCCTTGCCTCCCCGCGGTGGCGCGACGCTCTGAAGCGCGCGGAGGCCAGTCCGGCTTCTGTCAGGCCCGCGTGCGAGGCGTGCGGGCCGTACCACCCGGGCGGGGAGGCCCGGGCAGGGTGGGCGGGGCGGGCGGGGCGGGGCCGGTAGGGGGCGGGGCGCAGGCGGACGGAACCACCGCGCAGGGTGGGGGGAGGTAACGGGACGGGCGCGACCATGGCGCGGTGAGGCCGCGGGTGGGATTGGTCTGGGGAGGCCTGGGGCCGCTGGCTTGGGCGCTGTCGCCGCCGCCCCCTCTCGCTGCAGCCGCCGCCGCCGCCGCCGCCTCGGGCATGTCGTCCAACTGCACCAGCACCACGGCGGTGGCGGTGGCGCCGCTCAGCGCCAGCAAGACCAAGACCAAGAAGAAGCATTTCGTGTGCCAGAAAGTGAAGCTATTCCGTGCCAGCGAGCCGATCCTCAGCGTGCTGATGTGGGGGGTGAACCACACGGTAACCTGCACCCCCCGCGCACCCCACGCCCACTGCACCGGCCCGCGCCCCGCACCCCGCAACCCCCGCCCAGCCTCCAGCACGCCCGCCCACCCTCACACGCGTCTGGCCCGATTCACCCCGCGCCACGCGAGGCCTGCTGTCCCCGGGGCACCGCCGCCTCCCTGCCTCCTGCCCAGTGTCCATGCTCGCCCGGCCGCAGAGGGCAGGCCTGGGAGCCAGAGCGCTCGGTGTCTGCTGCTGCATGTGCGTTTCCCTTGTCCCCGCCAGCCAGCTGCCAGATCATTGTCCCGCTGACAGCGAGCGGCGCAGGCCCTGAGTCTGTGGTCGTCTGGCGAGGCTCTGTTCCGGTCCTCCAGGCTGCCTTCCCCCACGGTGGAAGTCCTTGCCGTGTTTCTTTTTGTTTTCTTCTTGAACAAGCTAGAGCAAGTGGAGAGGCTCAGGCTCGCTTGGCTAGGAGAGCCCGTAGCTGTCTGAAGGACTCAGTGGATTAATGTGCCTTCCCTGCTCTTGAGGCAGGGACTGTCCTCTGTTGTGTGGTCCCCAGGATGTGATCATGGGGACAGTTGTCCTAGATGAGCGGTCCTATGGATCCCGCGTGCTGTGAGACTGACCACCAACCTCCGGCTGGAAGTTGGAGGTAGCCCAGTGTTTGGAGCGGGAGACTGTGTTTGTAGGCTGCCGGTTTAGGGTCTGTCTTCTGCCTCTTGCAGCTGCTGTCTCCTGCCCTCTGACCTCTTTGTGGGTCCTTCCGTGGCAATGAGAAGCACCAACCTCTGCAGCTGGAAGTTAGGAGTGAGGACAATGAAGTGCTGGGTTTCCTGCTCTTGAGGCTCCCTGCTCTTCCTGTTTGTTTTTGAGACAGCGTCCTGCATGTAGTTCAGGCTGGCCTGGAAGTCTTGGTAATCCTCCTGTCTCAGCCTCCCAAATGCTGGGATGACAGGCATGAGCCACTGCACCCAGCTGCCGGGCTCTTTTGAACACTTGAGATTGCCTGTAAGACTGAAGGGCAAACTAAGGAGCTCAGGGCCAGCAGACTTCACTGCGCTCTGGTAGAGGAGCTGGGGCCTTGCTGGCTGCAGATTGACGAGCCAGGGCGCTAGCTCTCCATAGCCCACCCAGCAAAGCACGGTGTATGTGGGGTGCTGTGTCTTGGGCAGGTCACCATTTCCAGCATCTTCACTGTAATGAGGGTCCCCAGAGAGGAGGGACAGAGGACCCAGGTGTAAGGCTCAGCCCTCTGGCAGTCGCTTTGGGCCAGTACTCCAGCTGAGTTTGTTTCTTCTGCTGCCTGCGGCCTCCAGGGTCATCTGACAGTATTTCTAGGGAAACTGGGTCATCAAAATATGAACTCCATGTCCCTTTCTGGAAGTCAATCCTTGATTTTGTTCTACATCCTGCTTCTCACTAGAAAGCGTCCTGTCTGTGGCAGCTGGTGGAAGCCCAGAGCGAGGAGTATTGCAGGCAGCTCGGAGCTGGGAGCCCATGCCCTGGGTGCAAGCGCCAATGGCCTATGCCCACAGCGAGGAGCCCTGTGGCTGGTCTCACGTTTGCCCTATTCCTTTCCCTTCTCCCAGCTGTGTCGCAGGGCACAGGGGACCTGAGCTTTGCAGAGAGCCTGAATGTGTGCTGTGGGTGTGGCTGCGTGACCCTGGTCCCAGCAGCTCGTGGTGCTGGGCTTTCCCAGCTGTGGGTCCTCTGGAAGCCTCCAGTTGGTGTGGGGCTGGGTGGAAAGGGATTGCTGTACCTCTGAACTGGTGCCCCTCCTCCACTTGGGGCAGCCAGAGGGCGGCACCCCGGGCAGGGGAGCTTCTGGGCTCAGTTGGTGCCGGGTTCTGCTGCTCCATCGGAATAGGGTGGGAGCTGTGTCAGGGGATGTGGGGCCGGAAGAGTGCATTGCCCAGGGCTCGGACCTCGTGCTCCTGGCGTGCGCAGCCTCTCCTGGCACAGCGCTTCCTGCCACGGCCTGCTGTCACCCCTTTTACCAGCTCAAGTTTCCACTTCCCATCCTCTTTTGATTCTCTAGTTTCTTATCCTTTAAGCATCTAGGTGTGTGGGCCTGAGCTAATGGGATAGCATGAGGCATGAGTGTGTCTCTTTTTTGGAGGGGGAATGTTTGAGACAAGGTCTTGCTATGGAGCCCAGCCTGGGTTGGAACTCATGGTAATGCATGGGTGTTGGGATTACAGCACTCGCCACCATGTCAGGCTGAGTATGTCTTTATCTAGAGCAAAGGCCAGTCATTCTTCACTTCTGGGGGAAAAGAGGCCTTTGACCCCAACCAGTGATGCCTCAGGAGCTCCTCTGTGGCAAGACACAGAGCCCTGGACCCTGGAAGGACAGCGGAGGAAGCAGGAGGCAGCAAAGACTGGTGTGAGGGGGGAGGACGTGATGAGAGAACCAGCGTTTCAGTGGGCAGGTGCACTCAGAGGGTCTGGAACAGAGGGCATGGTGCCCTTGGAAGGGGCACCGAAACTGGTAGGTGGGCCTCATCTGGTGCTGTTGTGGGTTTAGGAAGGAGCCACATGTGCAGCTTTGGCAAGGTGACCAGACAAGTTGCAACTGGTGGCAGCTCCCTGCCCATGGGAGCAAGTGCTTCTGCCCGCAGGGCAGCTGCACACCACCTGTTCTCCCAGCGACAGGGGTGTCCTCGCTTCCAGTGTCTCAGCACAGGGCCTCCCCTGTCAGTGTCTTCTTGTGTGCTTCTGCACCATTGTACCTTTGGAGAGTGTGTGAAACCCTTCACCCATTTTTAAACTGGGTAGTCTTCTTTTACTGAGTTTTGTGTTCTTTATGTATTCTAGATAGAAATCCTTTATCAGGTAGGTAACTTGCATATGTTTTACTGTCTTCATTAAGTTGTCTTTTCACTTTCTTTTTGGTTTTTTTTTTTTTGAAGTTTAAGTATTCCGTCTTTTTTTTTTTTTTTTTGAGATGGAGTCTTGCTATGTAGTGCAGGTTGGCCCTCTTGAGCTCGCTTTTATAGCCCATCCTGGCCTCAGACTCAGTGATCTTCCTGCCTCAGCCTGCTGAGTGCTGCCATTATAGGTGTATGCTACCATGCCTGCCCCAAAGTGTTTGTTCTGAAAAAGTTCATCTATTTTTCTTTTTTGTGTTTTTGGTGTCATATCTCAAGCTTTATCTTAGTAAAGTTTTGAAGATTTGTTCATATATTTTTAAGAGTTTTATAGAGTTAGTTTTTTAAAAAACATATTAAGCTGGGGCCGGGGAGATGGCTCAGTGTAATAAGCACTTCCCTGGCAAGCACAAGGGCCTGAGTTCAATCCCTGGCTCTGGGGGGAAAAAAAAATTAAGCTGGGCACAGAGGTGTTTGTCTGAGGTCCCCACTCCTTGGGATGCTAGGGTGAGGTCAGTGAGCCCGGGAGTCTGAGGCCACCTGGGCAGCACAGTGGGAGTTTGTCACAATCACAACATCAACAACAACCATATTAGGTGGGGGTGTAGCTGTGGGGTAGGACGCTGGCCTGGGCAGCACGAAGTCCTGGAGTTGATCCCTGCGCAGCACAGACAAATAAGCCGAGAGGTTTTCCTGTGACTAGAACACCTCCAGGAGAACCGTCCCTTGGCGGTTGGAAGCGTTCTGGAGGGCAGGTCCTTGAGCTTATTCACGGGAGCTTCATGTTGCAGCCTCCACTTCCCCCCTTGCGCTCCCACTCAGCCCGGGGCGAGAATCTTTCCGTTCTTCGTTTTTATGAACTTAGACACCTCACTGAGGAGGCACGCACAGTATTTGTCTTTCCACGACTGGCTTACTTAACATACATTAGGTCCTCCAGGTTCTCTTGTTTTTGTTTTTTGAGTCAGGATCCACCTTTGTAGCCCAGGTTGGCCTCCAACTGTCAGCAATCCTCCCACCTCAGCCTTCCGAGTGCTGGGATTACAGGCCCGCGCCACCTTGGCCGGCCTTGTTGTACGCTGTGCTTTGGTTTATGAACTTGCTTTACCATTTGGGGGAAGATGACTGTGGTTGTGTTTCTCTGTGGAGTTTGCAAATGGAAGCACAATTTTGTCAGATGCTTTTGTCTATCAACTGAATTGTTTGCAGATGTGTTGGTGAACTTAGGTACCACTGTGCATCCTGTAGGTCCCTTCCTGAGGGTTGGCCCAAAGTCCGCATCTTCTCATGTCTTGCCCCTTGTGATCGGTGCTGTGCGTATAGAATTCTCACCCTTGCGCCTAGACCTGTAGTCCAGTTTGAGTCTGTTTGTCAGCTAGGTAGGGCGGATTCCTTTGTGTCTGCTTGGCTCCCTCCTGCTTCCCCCACTCCTGCCACCATTCCTGTCTGATGCAGAGCCAGAACCTTCTTTACCTCCCAGTCCTCTTGCCCTGTTGCTTTAGCAGCCTTCAGTCAGTTCCCGCTCTGGCCAGGCCTACTGTGACCCACCATCAGCCTTTGCCTTTCCTGGAGAGGGGGCTGGGACTCAGGCGGGAGGGAGGAGGACAAAAGCCGAGAGAGGGAAAGGAGAAGCCTTCCCACTCGGCCTTCTCCCCTCCTGTCACTTGGGTCTCGCGTGGCCTCTTGGTGCTTGTGATGGAGCAACTGAGCTTCCATGGAGGCCTGGGATGCAAGCCGAGGGGCTGGCCACATCCCCTGACTTCCACATCTGCATGTGCAGGAGCAGAAAGCCCAGTGTTACTTGGAGCGCTTGGCACCTCTCCTGTGTTTCCAGTAAGGGTCACTCTTCTCTCCCTGGCATTGGGGGTCACAGCCTCAGTGGGGAATCCAAACCTTTCCATCTTCCACACCAGGGCTCTTCGCTGCAGTCCCAGCCACCTTGCTCTTGCTTCCATTGTGTTTCAGAGGGCCAGCTGTCCCCGTTCCCCATCCCCTCTCTTCTGGATGCCCGTACTTCCATTTGACATTTGGAGCAGCTAGGTGGCCTGAGGGCAGTCACTCTGAGGCCCTGTAAGCACTGAGATTGCCTCCCATAGGGCCTCAGCCAGCAACAGCCCAGCCTGCACATGCAGGGGTCGGGGTGGACACGGGACGCAGCCACCACCACGGGCCTTGTCCTTCCTGCCTTGCTGCCTGGTCGCAGCAGACGATCGTGATGGCCCCACAAATGGTCCTAAAACTTCTTTCCCTTTTCTAGTCCTTCACTGGTTCTCACCCCAGAATTACCTTTCTGTCTCACCCAGCTGACCGCATGCAGGGAGGGACTTAAGCCCAAGGGAGCTTCCTGTCTCTGCGTCACAGCCACAGCAGAGACACACTCGAGCAGAGGCCCTGCCCTGCCTCTGATCAATGTCCTGCTTTGGGACTGCGGTGTTGCTTGCCCGTGAGAGGTTGTCTGGGCTGCTTCTCCAACACTAGCATAAATACACAAGTAAATATGCTTCTGGGCAGTGGGGTTTTTTTTTTGTTTTTTTTTTGGTATAACTTCGGCTTCATTTTGTGGTCCTGTAGAGTAACAACCCCTTGCTGTTAGTGGGTTACAATGGAGGCAATGAATGAAAACACTGCCTCAGACGAGCAAGGTTTGGCAGCATGGCTCTGGCAAGAGAGATGGTCCTGGGGTGGGATCCCCGCTGTGTGACCTTCAGCGAGGCTCCCAGCTTCGCCCGGATCTTCAGCGAGGGCAGGCCAGTGCTACTTGTCCAGACTGCTGAGCGCCGGAGCCCAGCTCGGAGCTGAGAGCGCTGCGCTGTGCAGCGTGGCTCGCCGACAGGGTCAGCCTCGGAGAGGTGCCTGCGCACAGGCAGCTGCTGCTGCGCCCCGTGGGCCACGCTGGGCGGTTGCGCTGGGCACTGCCTCTTCCCTGCTGCTCCCCACCGAGCCTAGATGTCACAGCCCTGAGGCGTGGTCGGCTGCCCTGAGACCTGGCTCTCCCAGTCTCCCGTTCCCTAGAGAGCTACCATCCTAGACCTTGATGCCTCCGGCCGCGGCCCCAGCATTGCCACCCTGGACGTCCATTGGTTCTTGCTTTTTTCTTTTTGGCGTTGCTGGGGGTGGCTCCCAGAGCCTCATTTGTGCCAGGCAAGCATCGAGCTACTGTCCATGGCGCATCCAGAATCAGCCATTTCTTCTCCCATTTATCTTTTCAGTACTTACCTTTCGGTACTTATTTCAGGACAGTGTCTGCCTGAATTGCCTGGGTGGGACTTGAACTTGTAGTCCTCCTGCCTCAGCCTCCCTCAGGCTGGGAGTACAGGCTTGAGACACCATGCCTGGCTGGATCGAGCGTCTCTTAATGCGCCTCTCGTCTCCCATTACACATAATGCAGTTACAGCGCTGTCTTCTGTCCTCCAAACCAATCGGAGGCCATGTCTCTGTGCTTTCCTGTCCACCTCCCGGCCCCTCGCTAGTGGATCATGAACTGAGGAGAAGCTGCTGGAGACTAAGCCAGATCAGGAAAGTGCTGGCTGCCAGGCTAGGGAGTCAGCTTTCCCGAGGGTGTGGAGGAGCAGCCCAAGGTCCTGGAGCTGGGGTGTAAGACGAGCTTGCGGCAGACTTCCAGGGGCGGCACGCCTGGCACTGCTGCACCCCGCCGTTTGCAGTCCAGCCATGGGAACTCCCGCTGTCCCCTACCCGTGCCCCGTGACGCCACCTTGCTGTCGGCGGGGCCTGGGCTGTGTCCTCTCTCCGAAAGGCCCCAGCTTGTTTCTTCTGTGTGTGCATCATTCCTCAGTGAAGGAAGCACTGAATAGCTGTCTCCGTAAACGCTGCTCAGCTGAAGTGGAATCAGCTCTTCTGGGGATAAACTAATGTAGCATAACTGAAAAAAAAAAAAAAAAAAAAACCCACCACGACTAAAGTGATAGCTGAGCCCAAGAGCGAGTCATTTATAGTGGAAAGAGGGGAGTCTGTAGAGTTGAGAGGTGGAGCTCACTCACCATCTTTCAGATTGTTCTGTTTATTACTTGAATTAAAAATCTCCTCTCATTGAGTAGTATAATGATAGTAAGGATAAGCTCAGCCAGGTAGTGCACACTTGTAATCCCAGCACGTGGGAGGCTGAGGCAGGAGGACCACAAGTTCGAGTCCAGTCTGAGCAATTTAGGAAGAACTCCATCTCAAAATAAAATTTAAGAAAGGGCTGTAGAAAGGGCACGTAGCTCAGTGGTAGAGTGAGGCCATGGATTCAGCCTCCATTATTGAAAGGGGGAAAAATGTATAAAGGTGACAGAGCTAAGCACTGGCAAGGGTACAACCAGTGTAAAATTTGTCACACTAAAAGTGGAACAAAAAAATTAATGAACCCTTCCTTCCCACATAGCTCCTGTCAGATTAAGTGGTCCTGCTTCAGGGGTCGGTTCCTTCCCTGAGGACATCTTTATTTTTTCCAGTTGTCCCAGGGTCAGACTGTGCGGCAGCACTGCCTTAGGGTCCTCGACTCTGCCAGAGTCACTGTGCAGCAGATGTGGTCCTGTTTTGGCTGCGTGAGCTGCTCTTGGAGCCAGGGGTGTCTGGGATGGGCCAGGAAGAGAGCCCGGCCCTCTTTGTCTCGCTCCCCCTTTGTGCTTGGAGCCAGGCTCAAGATGCCAGGAAAAAGGAAGTGGGATCGCCACCCTGAATTGTTTCTGTTGGCAGCAAAACAGGGAAGCGGAGTGGTTTCCTGTGCAGGCACAGATTTGACGGTGTTAAGGGTGACTTTATGGACAATAAAATGCACATTTTTCTGGGCTTGGGGCACATGCCCGTGATCTTGGTACTCAGGGAGGCTGAGGCAGACGGGTTGCAAATTAGGAACTTTAGGGCCACGATGTAGCTCGCCAGCTCTGCGCCCACCTACCCACAGTCTGTGTCCCCACCCACAAGGGACCTGGGCTCTCCCCAGCTCACACAGCGTGGCTCCCTCTCTGTTAGCGCACAAATATGGACTTCATCCGCTTGACGTTTCTAAAATGAAAAGGGTTGGGACCTAAAGGGGGCAGCAAATTAAATGCCGCTTCCCCTGTGCGGCTCGGGAGGAGACCTAATGGTTGCGGGTTGTCGCTCCCTGCTTCCCCAGCCTCTTTAGATAGCAGGGTTTGCAAGCAAAGCTTCTGGGCTACATGGCCCCCAGCCGGCCCATTAAGTCAGGAATGAGTTCCCTCTGGCTCCTGCGTGCATTAGTGGCAGCAGGGCTGGGGTCAAATGTCAGACCCAGGCTGTGCTGGGGGAGGACAGCTGTGGCAAATTAGACTGCTAATGGGCAAAATGGGACAGGAGAGTGGCTGTCACTCCCGGTGGGAAGCTAGCTCCGTGAGTCAGAGAAGCTTACAGCAGAGGTAAGGCCCCAGCCGAATGTGCCCCCCTCTTCTGTCCCCACCCTTTTTATTTCAGTAGTCCCAGTGAGCCAGGGCTGGTGTCTGCCTAGGCCTTTTGCTTGACTTCCAGCGGGTTTCCCAGCCTCAGGCTGATGGCTTGTGGCACCCGTGATCTGTGCAAAGATCCCCAAAGGCTGTAGTGAGCATCACCTAGGTTGGAGGGCAGCAAGTCTTTGGTCCGACAGGGCCACGTGTGGCAGACATTCACTGAGTGCAGGCCACATGCACTGGCGGTGCCAGGCAGTGCAGGGTGTGGGAGCTTTAGCAACCTCAGCTGTGGCCGGCCCGGGGCTTCCTGGAGGAGGCGCCTTTTGAGCTGCCCCTGACAAAGGAGGTGATGTAGCAGGGGACTCGTTCCCAGGGCAGTGACAGCTGGGGAAGGAATTGGCACTGGGGACCACAGTAGCCTCTGCATCGGAGCACGTTGTCCTGGCTGCTAAGCTCCCTGTCCCCTTACTCTGCAGATCAATGAGCTGAGCAATGTCCCTGTCCCTGTCATGCTCATGCCAGATGACTTCAAGGCTTACAGCAAAATCAAGGTGGACAATCATCTCTTCAATAAGTAAGTGGCCCCCTGTGGGCTCAGGAGTGGGCCAACTGGCCCGCAGGGTGGGACAGTGGCATCTGGCTGGCTGAGGATGCATTTTTTCTGGGCCTGTCCCTGCATTGTCTTGTCATGCTTCTTATCAGCTGCCCTGCAGTGTCCCTCGGGGCTTGTGGCAGGCGGTGACCTGATCTCAGGCCTCAGGGCACAGCCCAGCCCTCCACTCCCTGCTAGCCTTGGAGCAGCAGGCTGAGCTCAGCCCTCAGAGCTTCCCACAGTCGCCATCCCCATTTGTGTCCCTGGGCTCCTCAGCCTGGAGGTGTCTTGTGTGCCTGCTGCCTGTGGCTGGAGACCTCCCGCAGCCCCTCCTGAAACTGCCTGCCACTGGGGGCCTGCCCAAGCCCCTCAGGGCCCCTCCATCCCCTTCCCAGGGTCCTGCAGTCCCCATCACCCCTTCACCCTCCTGAAAGCTCTGCCTTTACGGCTCTGCACTGATGCAGGCCTGCAGGCCTGGCCATAGGAGCCTGAGGCAGGAGAGACACGAGCTGAGGGGCACCCTGGGCCATCTCGCCAACTGCTGCTCCATGGCCCAGAGCTGGCCTAGCATGCACAGGGAAAAGGAAAGCCCAGGAAAGAGCAGGTGGGTTCCCCAGCGGGGAGCTGCTCCAGGGCAGACAGGTACAGCCTCTCTCCCCACTCCCAGGGAGAACCTCCCCAGCCGCTTCAAGTTCAAGGAGTACTGCCCCATGGTGTTCCGCAACCTCCGCGAGCGCTTCGCCATCGATGACCAGGACTACCAGGTAGGCTGTGGCACCAGGAAGCTGCAGGTCAGGAGAGGAAAAGGTGTTGCTGTCCCTGTGCTGCGTCTCCCTGTCCCTCGTAGACTGCAGTTCCTGTCCCAGGTGGGGCATCTTGGGAGAAGAGGAGTGGGGTGGGGCAGGACAGGGTAGGGCACCCAGTCCAGGCCAAAGAACCCTCTCCGCAGTAGTTGAACTTAAGCGAGAGGATGGTGGCCGGCAAGATGAGGCCCCTGAAGCAGGTAAGAGAGTAGAGAAGCAGCTTTCGAGGGTAGTGTAGCTTCTCACCAGGTATGAGAGTTACCTCCTGCCTCTGTCCCCTTCCTGCTGGCGGGAGGGGCAGGCAGGGCAGGGCAGAGCAGCTTCCCTCCTCCAGAGTGAGTGTCCTCAGGGTCCTCGAAGCATGAGGAGGAGTGGGTCCCCACAGCAGGGGTGCCAGGCTGGGCAAGAGAGGCTCAGCGGTTGGCCTCTGGCACCTCCTTGTCCTCGTGGGCTTCTGCCTCGGTGCAGGCTGGGGTGAGGTGGCAGAGCTGTGCCAGGGAGGGTGTGCTGACCTGTGGTCCTCTGTAGGGGCTGGGCGGACGTGGGTACCCTGACCAGGAGGACAAGGGGTGAGAGGAGGTCCCTGAACCCCCCTGATGGCCACACGCGGAGCGGAGCTGGGCTCTGCCAGGAGTACAGTTTTACTGAAGGCTTTTTGGTGTTCTCACGGGCCCATGTCACTGGGGAACCTCCCCTGCTCTGTGCCACCCCACCACATCCTTTCTGGGTCTGCGCTGTGACCCCAGCCCCCTGTGGGCACCTGACTTTGCCCAAGCTAGAAATGAAGACAGTGAAGCTGCTGAGCCTCGGAGACTGGAAGCTCCATGTGGGCTGTGAGTGACTTAGGGCCTGCAGATGGCTCTGAGATAGTGCTGGAGAGACAGGCGAGGAGAGAGGGGACCTGACCCACTCAGCACCTCAGCTTTGGGGATGTCCCTTTTGAGGGGTGCTGCTTTGCTGAGGGGTCTCAAGCTCCCCCATTCTTCAGACTTAGCTCCCCGGGCAGGGTGCAGAAGCGCGTGCCTGTGCTGAGCCAAGCTCAAGGCCCCAGGCCAGCCTGGGCCACACAGTGAGAGCCCGTCTTAATGAGTGGGTGCCTTAGTTAGAATGAGGTGAGGGCCTGGCGTTTCAGTGAGCAGATCTTGGGGCACGGTGTGTGGGGCTGGGAGCATCTAGGGTCTCCCTGAGGTTTGCTCAGTGAATGCTGTCCTGTCCACTGGCCCCTTTGCTGCCTGCTTGAGGAGGAGGGGGAAATCCAGGTGTGTGGGCCACAGGTAGAGACAAGGGCCACCTCCTGCTTTGGGAGGGTCTTCCAGCCCCATCCACACAGGGACAATGGAAGGGCATCCTCTTGCTCTGAGCGTGGTCTGTGCCACCTGGGAGAAGGGACAGTCCCTGTGCTGCAGACGAGGACCCTGTGGGCAGAAGAATGACTACACCCAGGGTCAGGGAGTAGGTCCTACGCTCAGGACCGGCTTGTGGTTTGCACAGTGCTCTCTGGGGTTGGAACAAAGGAAAGGTCAGGGTGAGCCCACTTCGCGCTGTCTGGTGTCTGGGCGGGGCTGCCTGGAGCAGGCAACTCCGGGACCTGGATGGACCTGGGGGAGGGCTGTGAGTGCCAGAGGAGGGCAGCACGGGGTCTCCCTGGGAGCACTGGCTGCTGTGGCCTTGGCGCAGTCAGCACCCGGCAGGGCATATGCCAGAGCCAGGGCTGCTTTTGTTTTGTCCCTCAGAACTCGGTGACACGCAGCGCCCCCATCAACAGCGACAGCCAGGGCCGCTGTGGCACTCGTTTTCTCACGACCTACGACCGGCGCTTCGTCATCAAGACTGTGTCCAGCGAGGACGTGGCCGAGATGCACAACATCCTAAAGAAATACCACCAGGTATGGTGAGTGGGGCCAGGCGGGGAGGCCTTGACCGTGGGGGCCTCACCCCACCTGCTGCCTGCGTTGGTGCAGCCCGACGGCTGCCTCGGGCACATCAGAGGGGATGGCAGGCCGCCTGAGCAATGGTGATGGGAGCGTGGAACTTCGGGTCCTGGCTTGCGCTGGAACGTGCCGGTGGCTGTGCCTCCACGGGGCTCAGCAGTGGCCTGGGAGTCCAGGGGTGGTGGCTGCTGTGTGTGGACTCGGGGCTCCTCACTGCCCTGCCTTGCACGCCCAGGAGCTTTTTACCTCACTGATGGTTGGCAGCACCACTGACCTGAAGGTGTGTTCTGGGCTTGGAGAGCGCCCCGGGCCGTCCCATGATTCGGGGTCCACAGCCTTCTCCTGCCACCTTCCCTTCCAGTTCATCGTGGAGTGTCACGGCAACACACTCTTGCCGCAGTTCCTGGGCATGTACCGCCTGACCGTGGATGGTGTGGAGACATACATGGTGGTCACCAGGAATGTGTTCAGCCACCGGCTCACCGTGCACCGCAAGTACGACCTCAAGGTAACGGCTGTGCCTGCCGGCTCCCCTTGCCCTGGGGGACAGCTGAGGGCCGGTGTGGCCATGGACAGGCACCTCTGGCGTTGAATGCTTAGATGGTGGGGACCAAGGGCTTTTGAAGTCTGGGTGGTAGTGAGGTTATCGAAGCCCGAGTGTCTCTTGCACAGGTGGCAGTCCGTGCTCTTCGACTCTGCCTGTGGGTGTGCACACTGGGGCAGTGGCGCAGGCCATAGCTGACGCACGCCTCCTGGCCTCTGGCCAGGTCTGTGTAGCGGCCACACAGGTGCCTTCAGCACTCTAGGAGGATACATCGGGCCCCGGGGCCATCGGTCCTGGAGCTTGTCGCTGCATGCTGCTGCTATCCTCTTTCTGCTCAGACACATGCCTTGTCTGGTCCTTGCAGCACTTCTGCCCTCCCAGCCAGCCCCTCCCTGAGGGTCCCCTGCCCCCCTCCCTCTGGGGCGCTGCTCAGCTCTGCTTCCTTCTGCCTCATGCCCTGCATGGTAGCCCTGCAGGGAGTGCGCTAGGGTGGCGGAGCCTCTGCATCCTGCCTGCACCCCTGGTAGGAGGCAGGTCCCAAGCTGGTGCACAGCTGCAGTCCCAGCACTCAGGAGGCTGAGGCAGGAGGATCACTGTGTGTTTGAGGCCAGCCTGGGCTACATAGTGTGACCCGGTCTCAAAAAGCCAAAAAAGAAATGAAGAAGGAAGGACACTGTGAGGAGACCACAGGTCTCCCTGCAGCGTGTCCAGCCTGCGAACACTGGCTGTGTCCCTTGTGCAATCAGCGTGTAAAGTGGCTGTGCTGGGGGTGGACAGGCCACGGCTGCTTCTCTGCCACTGACCACCCTCCTGCTCACCTGCCTCAATGTCTCCTAATGGCTCTTGTCCTTGCAGGGTTCTACTGTAGCCAGAGAAGCGAGTGACAAGGAGAAGGTACGCTGATGTGGCACATGGGGAGGGGTTGGGCCTGGCCCTCTCTGTTGGCAGCCCTTAGCCCAGCTCCCAGACACAAAGTCTGTCGCCTTGGCCCAGGTATGGGGAGGTGGTCCTGTGTCCTCATGCAGTCCAGTGAGGACTCCCTCGTGAGTCCTCCCTATCCAACACATGCCATGTGCTTGCCATCCTGGTGGGCCTAGGCTGGCAAGGATGGACCTTGGGGTCCACAGCTCCAGGCCTCCCCGAGAGGGCTTGGTGTGGCCCCTCCTGTCACGCCCTTTGCCATCCTTGGCCACAGCAGGACAGGGCGACTCGGCCTGCCCATCCTAACCCTGCCGTCTGCCTCCCAGGCCAAGGACTTGCCCACATTCAAAGACAATGACTTCCTCAACGAGGGGCAGAAGTTGCGTGTGGGAGAGGAGAGCAAGAAGAACTTCCTGGAGAAGCTGAAGCGCGATGTGGAGGTACTGACCCTGTCCTCAGCCTGCCCTGGAGTTGCAGCAGCGTCCTTTGGCCCTTGGGGCAGCAGCATCCACCCTCCCGGGGCAGCGCGGGCGGGCTGTGTGGGGGACACCCGTGGCCCGTGTGCGGTGTCTCCCCGTGGGTCCATCCTGACTCCCCCAGCTCCCCTTCCTGGTTGCCATCCCCACAGAGTGCTCAGCCTGCCGAGCCCCTCCCTTCCCAGCAGCCTGGGGGCAGCGGGCCTCCTCCTGGGCAGGGCTCCTGCCGGAGATGTCCTCGCCCAGCCCCTGACTGCCTGCCTCTGTCTTTCTCCATCACTCTTCTTTTTTGGTGGAGCTGGGGATTGAACTCAGGGCCTTGCACATGCTTAGCAAGTACACTACCGCTGAGCTACAGCACAGTCCCAAACTTCTATTTTAATAACGTGGGAACCTGCTCATTAAAATTCAAATCCTACAAACTTTTAAAAAGTATTATTAATTGTAAGTGCATGCCTGGCAAGCACAATGTCCTGAGTTTAATCCCCGGCACTGGGGGGGGGGGGAAGATACAGTAAAATAATAATAATTGTGGGCCTGCCCATTAGCTCAGTTGTTTAAGTGCTTGCTTAAACAAAACAGTCAGTCTCAGGGTGCTGTGGTTCAACTCCCAGAACTCACACCAACCAGACCTGCCCTGAAGGTATTCTGAGACTGCCAAAACAAAATAATAATAATTATTATTGGGCTGAGGAGATAGCTCAGTAGAATAAGCGCTTGCCTGGCAAGCACAAGGTCCTGAGTTCAATCCCTGGTACCACAAAAAAAATTTTGTTAAATAAAATAATAATTAGGGGCTGGAGAGATGGCTCAGTGGTCTAAAGCACCTACTTGGAACAAGCTTGGCAAAGCACAGGGACCGCGGTTCAATCCTCCAGCACCACATGCCGCCCAGCCGCGCCCCCTGGTGGGCTGAGCTGGCCACACACACACACACACACACACACACGCACAATAAATAATAAAAAATGTGAAAATAGCATCTTTTAAAAATAAAATAAAATAATAATTATTATTATTGCTCTTGTCTTTTTGGAAACAAGGTTTTGCTATGCAGTTCAAGCTAGCCTTGACCTCACTTTGTAGCTCAGGCTGGTCTCTTGGGCTTGGAATAATCCTCCTGCCTCAGTTTCCCGAGAGTTGGGATTGTAGGTGTGCACCACCATGCTCTTTTTTTTTTTTTTTTTGGTAGCATTGGATATTGAACCCTGGACCTTTGCTTTGAGCTACATCCCAGCCCTTTGGTACATTCTAGATTATCCATAATGAATGATAACATTTATCATGTGGATTTCGTACCTATGTGACCTTTTATATTTTTAAATTTTGAGACGCTGTTGCTAAGTTGCCTCTGTCCATGGCCTTGGGGTGATTCCGCAGGTCGCAGCCTCGCAGGCCTGTGCTTGTGGGCCTTGGGATGTCAGAGCTGCTGGGGTCTGGTGCCGGCGAGGCTCAGCGGTGTGCACTGGCCTACTAAGTGTATGCAGATGTTTTGCGACCTGAGAGCGGCTTGGGGGGGTAATTCTGTTGTAAGCCCAGGGCTCTCTATATAAGGGTACCTGTCACTTTGTATGTGAGTGTGTGTGGTTTTGAGCCAGGGTCCTACTATGCAGTTCAAGTTGGCCTTAAACTTGTAGTGATCCTCCTGCCTCAGCCTCCTGAGTGCTGGGATTATAGGTGTGCATCATTTTTTGGCTTTTGGAGGCGGGGTCTTGCTATGGATTGCAGGCTCTCCTTGAACTCACTATGTAGTCCAGGATGTCTCAAACGCCCATTAATCCTCCTGTTTCAGCCTCCCCAGTGCTGGGATCACAGTTGTGCACCACTACACCTGGCTAATACTTGTCACTTTAATGGTACAGTTGGTGGCATTAGGTACGTTCATTCCATTACAAGCAGTCGCCAACCTCCATCTGTGAGGGTTTTGGTCTTCCCAGCACTCTGCCACTCTGAGATGCACCTTGGCAGGATTCCGTCTGAGGGGACGCAGCTCTGCCCCCTTTTGTTTTTTTATCATCTTTTTTTTTTAATTTTTATTTATTTATGTGTGTGTGTGTGTGTGTGTGTGTGTGTGGCCAGCTCAGCCCACCTGGGGGTGGGCTGGCTGGCATGTGGGGCTGGGGGATTGAACCGCGGTCCCTGTGCTTTGCTAAGCTTGCTCTAAGTAGGTGCTTTAGACCACTGAGCCATCTCACCAGCCCCTCTGTCCCCTTTTGTGATGCCCTCATTGCTCTTGGCAGGTGACATTGAGGCTCAGCTCTGTCCAGCATGTATTTGAATTTATTTCCTTTTTTTCCTTCAGTGCTGGAGAGAGCCCCAAACTCTACCACTCAGCCACCCCATCCCCACCTGCCTTTGTAACTTAAATTTGAAACAGGGCTCAGGTTGTCCATGCTGGGCTTGAACCTGAGCTGGCTGCCTTGGCCGCATGCAGCTGGGATGCTGGGGCGCCCGCCTGCCGTGTGCTCTCCACACCGCCTCTGCCGCGCGGCCTTTCACTGTCGCCCTCTGTCCTCTCCTCTCTGCCGTGCAGTTTGTCCTGAGCCTCCCTTCCTCCTCTGCCTGTCTCCCTGTGCGAGCTCTTGGGTGAATTCTGGGCCACTCACTTGTTCTTCCATTCCTGTGCGTGCTGCTCTTTTCTTCCCTGGGGTGGCAGGGGTGGGTGTCATGGACCCCATCCTGCTGAGACCCAGCCTCTGTCCATGGCCTTGGGGTGATTCTGTGGATTGCACCCTTGGGGGCTTGTGCTGTTGGGGTTTGGGATGTCAGCGCTGCCCGGGCCGGTGCCAGGCAAGGTTCCTCCCCGTCCCCAGCCCATGGCACTTCCCACGCTTCCCTGGTACGCAGCTGTGCTTGTGACCCTGGAGGGAAGCCGGTGTGTAGCTTCTGGCAGCTGGACTCTGTCTCAGTCACACTGGACACCCGCTCTGCTAGTGTCATTCCCAGGGCTTGTCTGTCCCGCGCACTGCTGTCCTGGGGAGACTGCGATGCCATCTGCCCTCAGTGTCGTCGTGCACTGGGCGGGCAGGGCACAGCCTTCTTGGCTTCCAGGGCAGGGCCAGGGTGCGGGTTGGCTCTGGCTGCCCATCCTGTGCTCTCTCCATTGCACCGCAGTGGTATGAAGCCGAGGTGCTAGTTCTGACCGCCTGGAGTTCTGTTAGTGGCTTCTGCCCTGCAGCCACCGGGTGTGAGAACCCTGGAAGCGCCCACTGCACTGCTGTCGGGCACACTGGTGCTCTGGTCTAGTGCGCGTCCCGGCAGCACCCCATGGGCTGGGACTCCTCGAGCCACATCTGAGCTGCTGTGCCTTTTCCGAGGACAGGATGCCAACCTCTGCTGGGGCCCGCCCAGGCCTCAGTTGTCCTCACTGTCTGAGCTGCTGCTGCCCCTGCAGGCCGCCTCCTCCCTCTCCCATCCCACAGCCTGGGCCCCGCGTGGTCTCCTTCCATCCTCAGGCCCTCACCCTGCCTGTCCTGTGTCGTGCCTCTCCCCGCTAGCCACTGTGGTCCCCCATCCTGTCTTAGACAGCTGAGGCAGAGTGAATGGACGGGCATGTGTGCCACAGAGGTCCTGTGACATCCTCTCCCACCATCTCTGCCCTCGCCCCAGTTCCTGGCACAGCTGAAGATCATGGACTACAGCCTGCTGGTAGGGATCCATGATGTGGACCGAGCCGAGCAGGAGGAGGTGGAGGTAGAGGAGCGCGCAGAGGATGAGGAGTGTGATGACAGCGCAGGTGGCCCGCTCTGCTCCTATGGGACGCCGCCAGACAGCCCCGGCAATCTGCTCAGCTGCCCTCGCTTCTTCGGGCCTGGGGAGTTCGACCCCTCCGTCGACGTCTATGCCATGAAGAGCCACGAGAGTAAGTGCACTCCCCACACAGCCCCACAGCCACAGCTGCCCCGGCTCCCTGGCCGCTGCGCCAGCACGCATGTCCACCTCCTCAGGCACCCGCTGAGGCAGGTTCTGTCCTGGTCCTGGAACAGCCAGACGCTGTCCATTCTGTCCTTCCTGCCTCCCAGGGTGGCTGCACAGATCAGCTGAGGTGGGGCGTAGAGCCAGGCGTGGCGGGAGGCCGAGGCAGGAGAGCAGAGGCTGGAGCTCAGGGAGAAGGAAGAGAATGGCCGGCAAGGACGCGTTGGTCCTTCACGGTGCCACTGTGACATGGGATCAGAACCTGGTGTGGAGGGGTCACAGGGGACCCTTCCCCTTCCACTACCGCCTATTCCTTCCTGCCTGCTTACCCTGTCCTCCAGGCAGCCCAAAGAAGGAGGTTTATTTCATGGCCATCATTGACATCCTTACACCATATGACGCGAAGAAGAAAGCTGCGCACGCTGCCAAAACGGTGAAGCACGGGGTGAGCTCTGCGTTTCCGTGGCCTGGTCACGCTGCACTCCGAGGTGGGGACAAGCCTGGGGCTGCTTCAGAGTTGCTTGAGGATGGGCCCAGGGAAGCCCCTGGGAAGCCTGATGTGGGGCCTGCCCCCACGCAGCCCCTTCCTCAGGCGGCCTTCATTCCTGCTTTGGGGGTGCTGCTCCCCTCCCCAGCCGAGAGCCCCCACCCTTGGCCAGGAGATGCCCCCATTTTCTCCCACCTTTGCCCCTGGGGCAAGTTGTGCCTCTGAAGTGCTGCTCGGGAGTGGGCTCCCATGGGTGCGGTCCCCACACGTGAAGCCACTGCCCTCTGTGGGGTGTCCTCATAGCCCAGTGCTTCCTCTGCCTCTGGGCTGCCCCCAGGACCAAGGCTCTTCTGGGTGCAGCCTCCAGCCCTGTGCAAGCGCGGAGCTGACCTTCTCCCTGCTTTGTCTTGCAGGCAGGGGCTGAGATCTCGACGGTAAACCCTGAGCAGTACTCCAAACGCTTCAATGAGTTCATGTCCAACATCCTGACGTAGTTCCCTTAGACTCTGGCCTGAGCCGGAGCACAGGCGGCTGGGGAGGGCTCAGGAGAGGATGGGAGAGGTGTGTGGGTTGGAAGGAGGGCGGGCAGATGGTGGGGCTCAGCCTGTGACACTGAGGAGGTACAGCACCTTCTACTAACCTGTGACCCCCCCCCATTTCGATCCCATGTCACCTTTAGGACACCTTGGGGCTAGTGGTGACTTGCCAGTTTATTTGGGTTTTGGTCCTGGTCACTACCGTCCTGCCCCGCCCACCTGCCCGCCTCATAGTCATCCAGGTCCCTTCAGCTACTCCAGCCCTGCTCCCTCCGTGGCATCTGGACTCTGATTTCATGGATCGTTGTGGGCAACTTTACCTCCCTACTCTGGGTCCAGGTGAAGGTTCCTTTTGACTTCCACCTTCCTCCGGCCTGTCCTCCCCAGCAGAGGCAGAGGCCTCGGGCCGAGGAGCAGGGTCTCCACGGAGGGGTGGGACTGTCAACACACTCGGGCTCCTGGGCCCTCAAGCCCGCCTGCCGCCAGAAAGCGCCTCCAGCCCGGCGGCCCCGGGGTGTCTCGATGCTGTCCCTTTGGTAACCCAAGAAACTGATCGGGTCAGATGCCGTTTTGTGCAAACCTGCCCCTCCTCATGAGCCACGTGGCCGGCCTGTCGCCAGGTCGGAGTGCTGAGCACTGGGTGCTCTGCAACGCTGTCTCCTCGGCCCGAGCCCATCTGCCAGTGGTTTCTCACCTGAGCAGTTTGAAGAACAATGAGTCCCCACCTCGGAGTGTGGGGACAAGCCTGGGGCTGCTTCAGAGTTGCTTGAGGATGGGCCCAGGGAAGCCCCTGGAAAGCCTGATGTGGGACCTGCCCCCACGCAGCCCCTTCCTCAGGACGGGGCTTTCCACAGCCCTTTCAGGGTTCTTTCCCATCCTCAGAGCACCGCCCTAGAAAAGCCCCCCATTTCCCAATGCTGTCACAGCAGCCAGTCCACTCAGAAGGACAAGTGACATCTTCCCAGCCCCATGCCAGGAAGTAGGGACTTGGCGTGAGAGGAGGGCACCCTGGTGGGTGACTCAGAGGTGTGAAGTTGGTTTGTGGAGCATTGCAAGGAGCGGAAGGCTTCCTGGGGCTCCTGCCATGTGGCCCTAGAGGCCGGGGACCTTGCTACACTGCAGAACTCGGGGAGCCCCTCTCTGGAGGGGTGGAGGCCAGACTGAAGCCAGCTCCAGGAAGGACAGAAGTGGCTCCAAGTGACAACCCAGAAGCACTTGGAACCACATGACAGGGAAAGAGCTGAGACTTAGGAATCACGAAGCAATCACGTCGGGACTTGATCTCCCCACCTCGGAATCAGGAGCGAAGTTCTGGATCTGCCCTCTGCCAGGCCCCGCGCCTCAGGCTCAGCAGGCCGCGTCCCCAGTGGCCTCGCTGCCCCTGGCCCCAGCCACATTGCCATACCATGTCCCGGGCGTCACATGTCCTGCCAGTTATGTGACTACCAGGTATCTAACTTGTTTAACATGGAGTTTTTGTGGGTTGGGTTGTTTTTGTTTTTTTTTTTTTTTTTGTATATTGTTTACATTTTGAGAGGTAGTGTTCTGTTTCAAATGCTCTTTCTGTTTTTCTGACAGTATTGTGGATCGGGTCGAAAAATTTGAGCTGTGGTTTGGTGGATTTTAGATTTTTTTAAAGGTCATTCTTTGTGCTATTTTCAAAACCTTGGGTCTGGCCCGCTGATTCTTTTTTGGCATTTGGATGTTCAAAAGCTATTTATCTTGATTTATACAAGTTTTCTTTCTCTCCGTTTTGTAATGATAAAGATGTTCTGTTTGGTCTGCAGTCTGCAAGTGAACTGAGCCCCATGTTTCTGGCTCCCTCTTTTCTCCCCAAATCCCACCAGGTCTTTCCTGGTCATCCCAGAATCCTTCGGGCTCTCCCTGGGACAGAGGCATAGGAATAAGGACTTGGCTGGGGGCTGAGGCCTGGGGGACAAGGGCAGGTTCTGCTCCCAATTTTCACTTTGCCACTAATGGGGAGCATCTGGCCCCAGCTTGTCCTGTACACATCTTTCTGCAGGTCCACAGCTGCAAAACTGTGGACCTTCCCTGCCCCCACGCACCCGGCTGACCCACGGCCTGACTTCTGGGTACTAAACCGCTGATCTCTGTGTCCCTACACCGGCTCCTTCCCTGTGCCCTGTGGTGGGGTCCCAGGGCAGCCAGGTGGCCAACATTTCAGGGCCAGCGCTGTCCTCATCTAGCTCAGGGTTACTGGTCTGTGGCCAGCGCCGAGTGGCACCCGCCTCCCCACAGTGGCAGCTCTTCCTCTTCTCCCCTCCCCGCCCTGTGCTTCAGGTGCCCTCAGTTGGCCAGGCCACCCGATGGAGGTGGCGAAGACCCAGGCCTTTCTCAGTAGCCAGCCCACCCCATCATCTTTTGAGTGGTTCAGGTCGGAACAGGACAGGTGCCAGCACCCCCCACATTTGAGCTGCTCCAGTGTGGGGGCCAGAGGGACCTACAGAGCTCTGGCCCCCCACTTGGGGCTCCCCAAGTCTTGAGACTGCCCTTCTTGGCAGCAGTGTAGGGAGGGGATCTCAAAAACACGTCCAGGTAGCAGCCCCAATATGCCAGCCACCCACATAAGAGGGGCAGGCCTGGCCTGCTTAGATGCGCTGCGGCAAGGGTGTCCCCAAGGGGTGGAGTTCGTTGTGGCCTCCACAGGGCACACCGAGACGCCCCAGGGAAGGCTGGGGAGGAAGCTTCTAGAAGCACCTGTCCAGGCTTGCCACAGCCTTCAGGGAGCCTGAGCTGCTCGGCACCCTGCATAGGGCCCGGCGGAAGTCCGCAGTCACCTGGGGCACAGCCACTCACCACACGCGTGACCTCTCAGGCTCCTGCCGCAAGCTCCATTTTTAAATAGGAATTTTCAGCCCCTGTGCTTGTCCAATGTCCGCTCTCAACAGTTCAAGACCCTGTTCCTGTTTTAAAGTGCATGCGTGTAAGATGCCTCTCCAGCCCGAGGGAAATAAACCGTAAGCAGCTTTGTGTACACCACTGTGTGATCCTTTGGCACTGCGCCCTCCTCCCAAAAAAGGTTTTTTTCTTTTTTTTAATAACTAGTTTGTCTTTTTTTTATTTTTTTTATTTTATTTTTTAACATTTATTTATTTATTTATTGTGTGTGTGGCCAGCTCAGCCCACCAGGGGGCGGGGCTGGCTGGCATGTGGTGCTGGGGATCGAACCGCAGTCCCTGTGCTTTACCAAGCTTGTTCCAAGTAGGTGTGTTAGACCACTGAGCCATCTCGCCAGCCCCCCAAAAAAGGTTTTGTCCTCAGTTGTGGAGGCAGCTTGGGCAGTCTGTCCGGAGGAGGAAAGTGTTCAGACTCCGCGAGGTTAGATGCAGGGAGAAGTAGAGAGCGCAGCACCGGTGCCACCTGCTGTCCCCACCCCGGCGCAGGAACCAGCACCGGCACTAAACTGAGCAGGACACTGCGCCTCTGGGTACCCACATTCTCCATCCAGCGATGGCAGATGAACGTTTGAGCCTGAGAGCTGTCCAAGCCCAGGTCATTAGCAACCCAGGGCTTACCCAGGCCTTGTCACATCAGACACACATCTGTATCCCTGGCAGGCGGGGCTGAGGCAGGAGGATGGCAAGGCCAAGCCCAGCCTAGCAACTTAGCAAGACTTTGTCTCAAAAAGGGCGGGGGATGGGGCTGGTGAGATGGCTCAGTAGTCTAGAGCACCTACTTAGAACAAGCTTAGCAAAGCACAGGGACCGCGGTTCAATCCCCCAGCACCACACACAAATAAATAAATAAAATTAGAAAAAAAAAAAGGCACGGGGAAGCAGTTCAGTACCATACACAGAAACAGTGGGCATAGCAGTGCACAATCTGTCCCGGCACTCTAGAGGCGGAGGCAAGGGAGGGGATCCCTGGAGCTGGAGACTGGCAAGGGATGGCCCTAATGACAGAGTGCTTGCCCAGCATGATCAGAGGCCCTAAATGCGTGTGGTGACACATGCCCTCCAGAGGACACTGGGGAGCCTAACACTTGGAAACGCTACCCATGGCCTGCTTCCTGTCTGGGGTGTCCTGAGGGTGAAAGCTGGACTCACTGGGGGACAGGAAAAGCCCTCTGACAGGTCAAGTTGCATCTCAGAGATGGGGCCGAGGCCCACAAGTGTGGGAGCCTGCAGGGCCACATGGGGCTGAGAAGTGTGCCAGGCGCAAGCCAAACTTCTGCCCAGAACAGGAGGAGAGTCTGAGTTCCAGCAGTGTGGGAAGAGTTGGGCTTTGGTGCCCAGGGGTGTGGGGTCGGCATCCTGGCGTCCCCAAGCCGGAGTGGCCATGGAGCGCTGTCAGGCCCTGGGCCTCTGCACTGGGCTCGGGGTTCAGCTGCTGGGGGGCACAGTAGTAAGGTCAGCCTCAGCAGAGGGTGCGTGCAGGCCCCGTACAGCAAGACAACAGGGAGCGAGGTCTTTGTATGGGGCCTGGAGAGAGAGCAGTGGAAAAGCACCAAAGACAAAACAAGAATGGAAGGCTACTTTATTTAAAAAAAGAAAAAGAAAAAAAAAGTTCCAGAACAGTCCTAGTCCATCCGGGCCTTCAGGGTCCTGGTGGTGATCTTGTCCTTCTCACTGCAGAGAGGAGCCACAGGGCCACTGAGGCTGCTGCCAGTGACAGCCCCCACCTCCCTCCACAACCCTGGGCCACGCCAGAGGACGCCCACGCCGCCTGAGAGGCCCCCTATGGGAGCCTCTGCCACTGCACGGCTCAGGGCTGGACTGAGACGTCCCCAAAGGAGGAAAGGAGCCCTTAGGTCTAAACACATGGCACCAGACCAGGGCTCCATGGCCACCTTGGGATGTGCGCACAAGTGTCCACATGTGTCACCCCAGGAGCATAAAGGCCCGGCTTGGCCGGCTGCACTCCTCATGCTAAGAGGTGTTGTGAGGGACAGGCCCAGACACCAGGGAGGACACCTGCTCAGTCAGGTTCCCGCTGACAGTGATGGCCGCAACCATCAGAGGGCTGGCCAGCGGTGGCAGTCGGTTCCCAAACCCAGTGCAGCAAGCTTGGTAAGCCCTAAGAACCACCCCTGGAGGGGGCCGAGGTGGGGTCCCAAGTGCCATGCAGGGCCTCGCCATCCATGCAGGTCAGTCCCACCTGCCTCACCCTACTCACATGACGTGGACAACAACGCCCATGCCAGACACCGCGTCACGGTCCACGGCGTTCAGCATGGCTTGGGAGATGGTCTCAAACAGGTGCTCCGGGTCCTGCAATGCACCCCAGCCTTGTGGAGCCTGCTTAGCTGCCCCAAGCCCTGCTCTCGGGCCTACATCCCTAGCCCTGGCCCTGGGGTGACCGGTGCAAGGGACATTTCCTGGAGGCTGGATGCATGTGGGCTACTTCCTAGGAACAGGACTTCACGAAGGGTCCAAGCCTGCATTTTCTCTGCTGACAGCCGACCTTGGGTGAGAAGGACGTCCCCTCGCTGAGCTCAGCGTGTCCTTCCACAGAGCGTGGCAGACTCCCTGAATGCCCGCCCGGGTGCCTGAAACCCCAACCTTCCTGTGCATGGGCCCACCCCTGCTGCCCCGCCCTGGCGGCTGAGTAGGACCCGTGTGGTCCCTGCACTTCTGCCTCCTGCACCCGGGGCTTAAGGGACCAGGTTCTCAGACTCTGCCAGCCCTCCTGTTCCCAATGCCACTGCCTTCACTCTGGGGCCTCAGTGCCTCCTGCAGGTGACAAGGCCAGGCACCGGCTGCAGGCCTCTGACTCACTGAAGGAAGCACTCAGACTCCTTGGCACAGCATTCAAGGCCTCTTGAAGTCCCACTGCGCTGCATCTCCAGCCTCCACACCCACCCCCTGCCCCTCTGGGGTCCCCAGCAGGCCTTCTTTGCTCAGGCTCCACCCCCTGCCACAAGCCCTCTCCTTCCCACTCACAGCACTGTGCTCTGCAGCTGACCTGTGCCAGCAGCCACCTTCCATGGCGAGGCTCGGTGGGTGGGTCCCCTGGGGACCCTCTCCACAGCTGAGGGACAGCAGCCAGTGAGAGGCACTGCCTCACGTGAGCCAAGCGCCACGCTGAGCAGGCTTCCAAGCTGGAAGCCGCTGCCCGGCACCCCCACCGCCCCCAAGCCAGCAGCTTACCATGTTGGGCTCCCACAGGGACTCGCACATCCCGTACATCTGCTCCGAGCATGTGCCGCTCACGACAAAATCATCAGTCACCATGGGGCAGCCGATGAGGTCCAGGGAGCAAATGAAGGGCTTGAAGGTCTTGGGGTCCAGCCCCGCGATGACGGGCTCCGTGTAGTAGGGGCCGAACCTGTGGGGTCCAGGTAGAGGAAGCGGAGGTCAGCGCTGCCTGGGCTGGCCAGCTGCCCCACCCCACCAGCTACTCAGGAACCCTCGGGGACTCCTTGGGGCCTCCTCCGGCCCTCCTCCTCCAGCCCTCTTCCTCCTCCTCCTCCGGCCCTCCTCCTCTTCCTCCTCGGGCCCTCCTCCTCCTCCTCCTCCCCCGGCCCTCCTCCTCCAGCCCTCCTCCTCCTCCAGCCCTCCTCCTCCTCTGGCCCTCCTCCTCTGGGGAAGTCGGCTCCCCCCTCCCTCCCATCCCCCCACCGCTCTGCACTCCTGTTTTTTCTTTGGCTTGCTGTTCCTTCATTTCATTTTTCAATTCTGAGTTCTGGCCAAGGGCAAAGTTACCAAGGTCATAGTTAGAAAGGTCAACAGGGAAGCTTTTTATCATGGATCAGAAATGATTAGTTTTGTACACTGACAGAGACACACACAGGCACATCCCAGAACCGGAGACCTCGCATCTGGGACTGCAGGCCAGGTGCTCACATCTGGCTACTTTCCTCGTTTTTGGTACTGGGAACTAAACTCAGGACGTTGCGTTTGCCACGCGGGCTCTTGTGCTGCTGCGCTACACCCCAGGCCCTACTTTCTCGCTAGATCCACTTCGGTGAGAGTAGATCTCAGCGAAACCTCCACTCCTTCAGGGAGTGTCAGAGGCTCTTTGTAGGAAAAACACTGAAAAACAAAATTCAACAGAAAAGTTACTCACTGAAGTTTTGTTCTGAACTCAGTGAGTTGAGCCAATCCCATGGCCCATGAACGGTGGAGGGCAGCTTTCCAAAACCTTGTTCTAGGGGCCGGGGAGACGGCTCAGTAGACTATGCGCAAGGGTCGGAGTTCAAGCCCCGGTTCCGCAAAAATAAATAAATAAATAAATAAATAAATAAATAAATAAAAAACTTGTTCTAGACACTGAGCTCTGAGGAGAATCAGCCTCAGAGATCTTTAATACAAAGTACACACTCACCCGTGGCTCATGGCCTCAACACGAACACAGTCCTTGACCATGTCCCATCGGCCTGCAGTACCTTATGGGGGCCAAATCTTCAGAATTAACTTTATAAAGAGTAACTTAGGCTGGGCGCGTGGCACACATCTATAACCTCAGCACTCTGGAAAGCTGGAAGGATTACAAGTTCAAGTCCCACCTGGGAAACTTAGCAAGACCCTGTCTTTGAACAGAAAAGTTAAGAAAAAGGTGGGCCAGCCAAATAACTCAGCAGATTAAAGTGCCTGCAAGCAGGCCCCGGGGCCTGGGGTTCGGGGATCCCATGCCGGCTCCGCCTCTGGGGCCCATTGAGACTGGGCATGGGGACATATGTCTGTAATCAGTTCTTGGGAGGCTGATTACAGGCGGATCACTATGAGTTTGATCTAGCAGTAAGACCCTGAGAACCCTGTGGAACCTTCCCTAAAATACAAAAAAAAAAAAAGAAAGAAAAGAAAAAGAAGGAAAAGAAAAAGGGCTGAGGATGTAGCCCTTTTTTGGGGGGTGGGGGTTGTTTGTCTTGTTTTTGAGACAGAGCCTCAGTATGTAGCCCAGGTTGGCCTTGAAGTTACAAAGATCCTCCTGCCTCAGCCTCTTGAGTGCTGGGATGACAGGTGTATGCCACCACGCCTGGCATATAACCTTTCTGTGAAATCTAAAACTATTTCAAACTTAAATGTTATGGGCTGGCCAAACAGCTCAGTGGATTCAAGTGCCTGCAAGCAGGCTTAGGGGCCGGGGTTTGATATCCTGGCCTGCCTTGCCTGTGCCAGCCCCTCGTGCAAGGCAAGCTGAGATGGCAATTGAGACTGGGCATGGTGGCACATGCCTGTAATCCCAGCTCTTGGGAGGCTGTAAACAGGCGGATCACTACGAGTCTCATCTAGTAGTGAGATCATGAACATACTGGAGACCCTTCCCTAAAATACAAATACATAAATAAATAAATAAGTGGGTTGGGGAGATAGTTCAGTAGAATAAGTGCTTCCCTGGCAAGCGCAAGAGCCTGAGTTTAATCCCAGGTTCTGCAAAAAAAAAAGGTTTAAAAAAAAAGGAAACAAAAGACACTAAACTCGCACCCTGGCCGCCCAGCCGTTTTGCTGGGACGGGTGCAGAGCTGAGTCCCTTCCATTCCACCCAGCCTCAGTGCTACACTGTCCTGAGAAAGCCAACCTTTGCCAAGGCCCCTCTGCAGGCAGTGAGGTGGCGCTCGTGATGCTGAGAGCTGGGGTGGCTCCTGGCTGAGCCCCCAAACATTCCTTGTGGGACAACAAGGAGATTCACTGCTATGTGTTTCCCTTGCCATCTTTGTTTCTGTTTGTTTTTTGTGGTTTTAGGGATGAACCCAGGGTCTCGTGCATGCTAGGCAGGCATTCTATTACTGAGCTACACCTCAACCTTTTTTATTCTGAGGCAAGGTCTCCCTAAATTGTTAGGATGCCAGGCTTAAACTTTTGATCTTCCTGCCTCAGCCTCCTGAGCAGCCGGGATGACAGGTGCACATCATCACTACTGCAGTGGCCCTGGCCTTCTTCTGAAGTAAGTCACTTCAGGCCTATTTGGTTGTTAGACCCAGAAAAAAGAAAGCCCTGCCAATAAGAACCGGAAGTGGAAGAGGAACGCCCTTCAGGGTTCCCTGCTCCCTGTGCTGTGACCCCAGGTCCTGGGCCACACCCCACTCACCGCCTCTCGTACAGCAGGTTGGCCACCATGCTCATGAGGGTGTAGGGCTTGATCTGCCGCCCCTCCTTCAGCTCATACAGGTTCAGCCGGAACTTGAGGCGCTGTGCACTGGGGGGAGGAAGGAAGGATGTCACCAGCCCTCAACCAGGGCCACTTCAGAGCCACCAGCTCTCAAGGCCCACCAGGCCAGAGCAAGGACTCCCAGGCTGAAGAGCAGAGCCTCAGGGCTGACTTCAGTGGCCTACTCCAGGCAAGGAAATGGAGGCCCAGTGAAATGAGTGTTTGCTTCCTGCAGGAAGAGTCCCCCAAAGAGAAGGCAGGGCACATGGGGACTGCAGAAGGCACAGAGGGCCAAGTTCCCAACTCTGGCAGGACAGGCGAGAGGGTGAGCCAGGCTCTGCCTCACGAAGTTCTGCTCCTCACACACCGGAGCTTTACAGGAAATGAGAGAATACTCTGTGGTGGCTTCAGCCCCATTTGTGGACCCTTTTAGCCCTCTCTTTTTTCAGACAGGATCCTTACTGTGTAGTCTAGGCTGGCCTCAAACCCATACCGGTCCTCTTGCCTCAGCCTCCCAATATGCCCAGTTCTCTCTCAGCCTTTTGTTTGCTTACTACAATACTGGGATTGAACCCAATACCTTCACATTGCTACATCCCCAGTCCTTTTCTAAATTTTTTTTTTTACTTTGAGGCATGGTCTCACTAAAGTTGCTAAACTGACCAGGCTGAGCTTAAACTTGAAATCCTCCTGCCTCAGCCTCCCAAGTGCTGGGATTACAGGTGCACACCATGGTGCCAGGCTCAGTGTTTTATGAACTGAAGGAATAGTGCTCCTGAGGCCACCAGCCTCCTGAGACCACACAGTCCCTCTCCTGATGAGCCAGGCATGGTGGCACACACCTGTAATCCCAACACTCATGAGGCTGAGGCAGGATGATTGTTTCGAGTTCAAGACCAACCTGGGCTAGCTACAAAGTGAGCTCAAGGCAACCTGAACAGCACAGTGAGACTCTGTCTCAAATAGACCCCCCACTTAAAAAAAAAAAAAAAATCCTACCCTATCCTTTTCCTCTTCCTTGACTTCTCTTCCTTCTCCACTGGTGAAAGTAAGGTCCTGCTCTGAAAACATGACAGATTATCCCTTCCCACATACTCTGCCATTCAGTATCTTCCCAGCCCTGAGATCTAACCGCAAGACATTTTGATCTGACTTCCTCTGTATGGTCAAAATTAGTGTCAATCCAGCAGAAAAGTATAAAAACGAAATATAAGAAGTAAAGCCGGGGCTGGTGAGATGGCTCAGTGGTCTAAAGCACCTACCTAGACACAAGCTTAGCAAAGCACAGGGACCGCGGTTCAATCCCCCAGCACCACATGCCAGCCAGCCCCGCCCCCTGGTGGGCTGAGCTGCCCCCCCCACATAAATAAAAATTTTTTTAAAAAAGAAGCAAAGCCATGCTGTTATGTTGAGCTGTGGGGGACTCAGGTCAACAATTTCTGACATTGCCAGTCAAGTGGAAAACCCAATACTATTATGGGCTACTAGACTCTTTTACAATATTTTGCTGAGTTTACACACCTAGAATATTCAAATAACGGAACTTAACAAAAAAAGGGGATACAGATGAATGTCCATTTTGTATCTGTGTATTCAAAGCGGTTAGAATAGATATATAGTTATATTCTCTTAATGAATAGAGGGATTTGTTCTGATGGTGTTTGTAAATAGGATATCATGTCCACATCTTGTACAGCAATTAACCCCTAGGAAGAATGTATGCAATGTGTTAATTATTGAAACTGTCCTACCAAAAAAAAAAAAAATTAAAAATTAGTGTCAAAGGGGCTGGAGAGATGGCTCAGTGGTCTAAAGCACCTACTTGGAACAAGCTTAACAAAGCACAGGGACCGCGGTTCGATCCCCCAGCACCACATGCGAGCCAGCCGTGCCCCCTGGTGGGCTGAGCTGGCCACACACACACACACACACACACACACACACACTAAATAAATGTTAAAAAAAAATTAAAAAAAAAAAACTAAGTCACTCACCAGGCATGGTGTCACATGCCTGTAACCCCATCACTCAGGTGGGGATTTTTTTCCTTCCTACCTTTTTTTCTTTCCCCTAGTGCTAGAACCTGAACCCAGGGCCCTCCACATACTGGATACCTACTCTACCACCAAGCTCCAGGCCCAGGCACCTAAATCTTATTTATTTTTGAGACAGGGTCTCATTACATAGTCCAGGCTGGCCTCAAACTCACAGCAAACTGCCTCAGCCTCCGAAGTGCTGGCTACACCTGGCTCCCTGAGTTATTTTCTACGCAGTGTTGGTTGATCTGAAGATGCAGAGCCCTTGCATTCCCAGGGCTGATTGCATGAAACAAACAAAAAATACAGGGAGGTATGAGTGCAGCTCAGTGGTAGAGGACAAGCTTAGTGTTCAAGAGGCCCTGGGTTTCATCTACAGCACAAGGGGAAAGAAAGACCTCAACGAATGAATCCTTTGGCCCCACAATATCCAAGCACCCACCACGGCTGCTCAGCAATAACAGTCAGAAATCCCGTGTAGCCAGGCTCGCTGGCACAGGCCTGTAATGCCAGCACTCTGGGAGGCTGAAGTAGGAAGTCGTCAAGTTCCAGCCTAACACGGGCTCAGTGTGAAGATCCTGGATTCAATTTCCAGTACCAAAAAAACCCACCAACAAAAATTCCTTGCTTTCTGACGACCATCAGCACACAGCCTTCAAGCGTCAGGCCATCTGGACCACTGCCTGCTTCTTCAGACTGCCCCTTCTCTCAGAGCACACGGCCACTGTCAAGCAGACAGCTGATCTGGCAGTGTGCGAACACCTCCTCATCCTGAGTTGGTTCTCTGCCTGAGGCCCCGGTTTGAGCCAACTACGCCCGAAGTCCTTTAGGGACGGGTACAGACAGCACCAGAGAGATCTGAGCTGGTTCTGGTCAACTCTCATTAACTGGCATCTCACACACGATGCTCTCCGAGAAGCCTCAGTTTCCCATCTGTAAAGTGGGACAGCAACGTGGTGATGCTGAGCGTGCGTCTGACAGGCTCAGACTCACTCATGGGCAGTGTCCAGTAGGTGCCCGAGACCCAGGGGGTTCAAGTGCCAGGCAAGGCTGGCCCAAGCAGCAGCCTGCGTGTGGGCGGGGACCCTTGGCACTTACACTGTCTGGACGTCGGTGGCGAGCCCGGCCAGGCCGATGTACAGCCGGTCCCCCATGGGGAAGATCCTCTGGAAGTCCGTAGTCACCATCTGCGCCTGGATCCCGAAGCGTTTGTCTGCGGCGATGGCCACACAGTTCTTCCCCTTCATGGCCATGACGGCCCCTCCATTATAGGACATTACAGACTGGGCACACAAAGAGGGGAGACTCAGCGACAAGGGCCAAAGCGGCCTGCGCGCCCCGCTCTTCACTGTGGGGGCTCCTGGGCGCTCTGAGGTCCAGCTCGGAGATGGGCTCCGCGGAGCAGCCTGCACGGCACTCAGGAGCCTTCCTTCCCACCGTCCGCTCCCTTCGAACTGAAGCCTCTTCCTTCTATCGACCGCCGGGCCCTCTCCGCCCCCTTAGCCTGCCATACCCCCCTCCTGTGTCGGAACTCCTACACACTGCCCCTTTTCCTCGCCCCTTCTCACCATGCTTGCAGTAGACTTGATCCCCTTGTCCGCCTCTGCAACTCCACTACACCGGCGCCAGCTTTCACTGTTCCGCTGTTCCCTTTGCTCTTACCCCATTGGCTGATCGGCCTACTCATCCTAGCCACTTCGGATTTTCATTGGCTGCAAATTCCGTCGCTCAGCTGTACGGGGTAGTTTGGTTGAGAAGCCAAAACGCAGGAGAGGAGAGCGGAAAGTGAACAGTCACTGTAAGTGCGGAAGAGCCCGGAGTCCGGTGCATGCCGGGATCGCAGCGGACCCGGACTCGGGGCGGGGCGCTGGGGGCGGGGCCGGTAGGCACGTGGGCCGGGGAAGCCCGGCTGGGTGGGGGCCACGTCCCGGGCCTGAGGAAGGCTGTGACGCTTGTCAGTAGTCTCCGCTGAGCCTCTTAGTCACACACTTTGCTCCATTCATTCCAGAAAGGCGTAGGGCTCCTGGGAGCCAGGCGCTTTGGAGGAGAGGTTACTCGCTTGCCGGCTTTATGGGAGGCGCCCACAAGTAAAACCCGACGATGCTGGGAGAGGGAGGGGAGGATGTCGCGTCCAGGGTGCCCCGTGGCCTCAAGGGTCCAGCTGCAAAGGGAAGGCCCTCGGTGTTTGTACTTTGGAAGCTCCCTACAAGTCGACTTAATGTAGCCCCGAGTCCCAAATCATCCTACAAGGAACATTCCGACCCTCTACGTAGAAAGTGCACTCCGAGAATAGGAGGCGCCGACCGCTTGCGACTCGCGCCCAGGTCCTGTGCTTAACTCCCCGGAGTACGATTTTTTTTTTTTTTTTTTTTTTTTTTTTTTTTGCCGGGTTTTGTAGCTGCAGTCCCTGCCCCGCGCCACACGGGGCTCCCTCCTATTGACTCAGCTCTCAGCCAGCCCAGTAATCACCGCAGTCTCTGTGGCGCAATCGGTTAGCGCGTTCGGCTGTTAACCGAAAGGTTGGTGGTTCGAGCCCACCCAGGGACGTAGGTTACATTTTTCTCCTTAAGAGATTGGGGCTGTTTTTAAATACAACCGTTCAGCAACCGCATTTTACAATAAATGATAGCGATTTTTTTCTACAGTAAATCAGAAGGTTACTGTTGGAAATTCCTTGCTATCAAGTATGAGATCATTTGTTTGTCCCGTGCATCAAACTGTTCTGCTCCTGAGCTCAATTCCAAAGCCAAGGACCAAGGTTTTTATCTCTCGGTGAGATTCATTTCACCGTACATTTTCCATCCAATTAAGAATGAACTTGCAGCGGAGTTAACTCGTTCTCTATCGTCTGTCTCTGGATGTTACAGCCTCAAAATCTCACATCTGGGAGGAAAGAAAAGAGAAAGAGAAAGAGCCAGACCAATGAGGGATGTATTTAGAAGTGAGAGGGACTGGCCTGTGATTCACAGAGAAGGAACGTGGGGATGTGACAGAGAAATGGGCAGGAGGATGGGAGGAGACCCCCCCCAAAAAAAGATGGGTAGTGATTGCACAGAGGCGCCAGAAAGGAAACCAGTAAAACAAGAGATACACGGGGGACGGGGGCTGCGCACACAAGTCTGACAAAAGACATTGTTTGGAGGGGCAGGAGAGCTGGGAAGGACACTGAAGTAAAAGACGCATGAAAGCATTATTGTCACCTTTTTTTTTTTTTTATTTTTCCTTGGTGGAAGCAGGGATTGAACTCAGATCCTTGCATTTGCCAGTCAAGCGCTTATCCTACTGAGCCATCTCCCGGGCCTGTCACCATTTTTTAAAGGGATCTTATCCAAATGCTAACCCTCAGTTGTGCTGGCATGGGCGGGGTGCCTCTAAGCCACAGCACAGAGACCCAAAGGAGTAGCAGTCCCCTGGAAGAACGAAGTTCCTACATGTGTCTGCAGAAGTGTGGTCCAGGGAGCCTTCTAGAAAACAACAAGTCTGGGAATCAGTGCTCTGCCAGGCTCCAAGGAGGCCGCTTCTGGGGTGCCCTCCAGTGCTCAGCCACCATTCTGAGTGCACCCACCTTAATGGGCCTGTGTGTGCCCTGTATGCCACCTGCAGTATTTGACATTGGCCCATCGCGGGGTTCATAGAATAGAAACTGGGAAACCAGGGAACTTCAGGTATGGGACGGGCTGAGTCTGAGGTCCCAATACCCTAAAGACCTGGGATGCGGCCAGTCATCTGAGAGAGAAATGATTGCAGTGTTGGGCTTCACTATATCCTCTCCAGCGGTGGCTCCTAGGCTCATTAAGAGTATGGAGAGTGAGTGGTACCCACCCACCCTCTTTGTTCAGCATGGTGGCTCGCCTGGGTAGCCAGCTCTCTAGGATTAATCGGATGACACTGTCTTTTCTACCAGCACCAAGAGGTCATCCTGAGTGCCTGTGCAATGGCAGGTGGACCTGAGACGGGTTTGGAGTGGCACACTGGGGTCTCCTTTGGGTCCCCTTCGCACCAAGCGAGTCTTTCTTGGCGGAGTCCAGGAGGCCTGTGCCGAGCTTGCCGGGCGTCAGTGGGCGTGTCCCTGCCGAAGGCCGCGGTCCACTCGGACCTTTGTCCTGGGGGAAGGATGGGGAGTAGAGGGCGGTGTGCTCCGGGATCTCTCCTGTGGGCTGGGGGATCACCAGCTGCAGGCGAGAATCGGGCCTGCTGCCCTCCCGCCTCACCGGGCTCAGCTGAGGTCACTCACTGGCTAGAACCAGGAACTGAGACCTGGGGACAGGGAGGGGAATGGACGGAGCGCCTGAGCCTGGGAACAGACGTGAGTCCTAGGTCAGGCCAACACCCGCTGGGCGCCCTGGGGGGTGTATGGCCGGTGGTCGGCTCTCAGCAGGGTCAGTCATGGTGGCTGTGTCGAGTGCCTTGCACACACGAACGAGCGGATCGACCGTCCTCACCGAGACTCGCCGTCACCGCCCAACCAGCATCGATTCGCCTTCTGGGCGCCGTCCACCAGCCCCCACGCTCGTGCTGGCTTTCGGACCAGAAGCTCAGGTCGGAGCGCGGCTCCAGGCCGAGGCGGGAGGGACGCAGGGCGCGCCGGGCGCAAAGTGCGGGAACTGCGCCAGGCCAGGAAAGCGCGGGCCGCTGTTGAGCCGGCGCCCCATCGCCCTGGTCCCTAGCGCCCAACGATCCTGCTAGTTTTCGCTCTCCACTCCCGGTCTCAGGCTGGGGTCTCCGCCCCGGGCCCTCCAGGTCGAACCCCGCACCCCACCCGCAAGGCTCTGCGTTGTGCGTTTCCTCCATCTGTGCCCACAGCTGCAGGTCGAAATTTCGGAGTCTCCAGAGTGGACGGGAACCACCCGCACGCGTGGCTGCAGGCGCCCTTTGGGGAGGTCGAGGCAGGGAGGCTTTAAGCCCCATTTCCGCGGGGTCCTCATTCACCATTTTCCTGGCGCCCCCTTTTCCAGTTAGGGTGGGGAATCGCACGGTCGGGGGGCGCGTTTTGGAGAAGAGAGGCTCGCATAATTACTGGACAGGATCTACCCTTCAGGTCCAGGGGGGCCGTGTGGATAGGAGGGGGATCGTCCTGATTTGGGGTCCCCGAGCCTAGCGAGAGGAACAGCGCGCCAGCCGCTCCCCCTCCTCGCTGCAAACACCCTGAAGGAATGAGGTCACGTGGGTGAGGAGTGGGCGGGACTACTCCTGTCTGGAGGAAAAAAAGCCATTTTGTCCCTCCACGCCGGGCCCTCCCCCGTCCCCTCCCCGCCCCTCTCTCCCTCCCACCCCTCCGCGCTCGCAAACTCCTTTCTGGCCGCGGGCTTCTCCCTCCCGCGCCTGGCGAGCGACCCGGCGGCGGCCCCCTCCCCTCCCTCCCTCCCTCCCATCCCCCGGGACCCGCCGGACCCTGAGCCCAGGTAAGGAACCCGCGTCTGCCCGGCTCCCGCCCGCGGCCGTCGGGATGGAGACGCCCGGGCCGGCCCGCCCTGCTCCGGAGCCCCGCGGGAGCCCCGCCGGGCCGCGCCCGCCGCCCGCGCCCCCGGCCCACGCCAGCCTTTCTCCCCTCTTTCCGTCCCTCGCCTCTCCTCCTTCCAAGATGGCCGAAGCGGATTCCCCTCTCCGCGGATCGGCGTCGCCCTCGACCACCTCCTCTTTGTGCGGCAGCCCCAGGGCGACCCAGAGCCCGAGGTGGCGAGGGGGAGGGTCTCGGGCGTCCCCGAGGGCTCCGGGGGGACACGCTGGGGTGGCCCTCAGCCCTGCGCACCTCCCCACGAGCCCGCGCGCCCCCTGGCTCCAGCCGGTGACCCCTAAAGGTCCGGGCAGGGGGCGCCTTCTGTGGGCAAGGGGCGCCGCGGACGCGCGCGGACTTGCGTTGGGGAGCCCGGGACCGGGCTTTCTGGTGGCCACGAGGCCGGAGGAGGGCGCGCTTCCCTGCCGGGGTCCGCTCTTCGGGACGCTTCCCCCAGCGGTCCCTTTCCCAGGTCCCTGGGCAGGGCGTCCCGTCCTCTCGCCGACCCCTCCAGAGGCCTCGCCGAAAGTTTGGCTCCAGGGATGGGGGCGCGGGCAGCGGGTCAGGGGCTTTCCGACCCTTGGCCTGGGCTCCTGGAGAGGTTATTGTACCGTCCCCCATCCCCATCGGGGGACCGAATGTGTGTGTGGGGTCTGGGGAGCTCTCCCCGCCTTCCCCCTCTGGTCCTGCGGCTGCTAGCCCTGAGGCCGGGGACCCCTGGCTCTTCCGGCTGGGGCACGCCCCTTCCTTCTCCCGCCCCCTTCTGCCTGGAATTCCTCCAGTCCAGTTCCAGGAGGTGGGTTGGAGGCTCCCGGAGGTGGGCGAATTTGCCTAGAAATCTTAGAGAAGTAGTCCCCGGACTTTCCTGGGGTCTTTGTCTCCCCGAGCCCCAGCTCCGTCCCCCCACGCTGCCTCAAGTCTCCTCGGGGAGGGGCCTCCTACTCTGGCCTCTCACGTTTCGCGCTGTTCCTAAAACTCAGATCCGGCCCTCCTCCACCTCGCCCGCGAGGTGTTATTACCACAGTTCTTGGAGAAAAACTATAAAGCCAGCTCTGTTAGAGGTTTTTTTTTGGGGGGGGGGTTGGGGAGGTGGTCCCAGGGGATCCCCCTGGTTTGAGGTTGGGGCTCGAGGCCTTCGAAACGTGTTGGAAAGAAGCAGGAAACACACCTCAGGATCCAGCTCAGGGTCTCCTCCCGGTCCGGTTCAAGTTGAAGTCATAGCTGGTGGGCAGGAAGGGGAGCGCGGCTGTCTCAGCTTCCCGGAGAGACCTTAGTTGATGCGGCCGTTGCCTTGGGAACAGAGAGAGCCTGAACAGGAAAAGGTTGCATCTTTGTGCAGGTCAGTGCCGCCCCAAAGGGGTGGCAGCTGAGCTGCCTTTGTTGCCGGAAACCGAAGGTTCTAATTTACTCTGGGAGAACCAGGGACACACAAAAGGATGGTTTCAAGCGGGGATAGGGTGGGCTGGGTGTGCACGTGTGGTTTGGAATATGCCTAGCCCTGTGTGTTGCAGATAGATGGAGGGGGCGTGTCCGGCAATTTGTTGCTCTGCGTGTAGATTTGGGGGGTTTGTCTTTGATCTTAGGCTGCTGACAGATGGGAAAGGAAGGGTAGGGTAGATCACCCAAAGCTCAGGTTCAGGAAGCCTGAGGCCTTGTTCCTTTTGTGTGTGTGTTGTGGGGTACACAGATGAGGCAGCAGAGCCCTGAGCCAATAGCCAGGACTGGGGAAAGCCTGGCATGATGCACAGCTGTGATTCCAGCAGTCTAGGAGGCTAAAACAGGAGGGTCACAAGCTTGAGCCTAGCCGTGGGAACTTAATGATTTAGTGAGGATCTATCTCAAAATTTAAAAAAGGACCAGAGATACAGGTCCTGGGTTCAACCTCTAGTACTGAGGAAAAAAAAAAAAAAAAAAAAATCAAAATCGGGGTCTTGGGGAGATGGCTCCGTAGAACAAGCGCTTGCCTGTCAAGCGCAAGGGCCTGAGTTCATTCCCCAGGTCTGCCAAAAAAAAAAGATCAGGGAAGAGTAAGTTGAGAGTTACAGTGTTGTGTCCCAGCTGAGAATCTGGGGCCTCAGAGCTGGGAGAGGTTCAGAGTAGGGCCTGGGCTGTTGGGCTCGCTGGCCTGGTCTTGCCTCAGCTGCCTGCTCTGCCTCCTTTAAGGCAGAGTGGATGCTGAGGGTCTTGTGGTCGCCAGATGGGACCCCCCTCCCTCCTGGAAGGTTCATCCCATGGTCTCCGCTAGGTAACCACCGCCCACCTGATGGGGTTTAGCAGCCTGTTGGGAGTCCTCCTAGCCCAGCAGCCTAGAAAAAGCACCTGAGCAGGAGGCAGGCAGAGTCTTGTCCCAGGGCCACACTGCGCTGTGTGGCCTTTGTGGCATTAGACAAATCACCCTAAGATCGCTTCCACCTCTTCTATGGAGATTAGTGTGACCTTGAGTGACTCTTCCAACATCAGGAGACTAGCAAGAAGGCAGGGCGAGCCAGCAGGAGCCGTTGTCCAGGGGACAGTGAGGTGATGACAGGCGAGGCCTCCTTGGGACCAGGGGTCAGGAGGAAAGAGGTGTGGGAGCTCTGCAGAGGCACTTGGAGGGGTGCTGAGGAGTCAGGACTGGATGCTGACAGCTTTCCCAGCTGGCACCACCTAAGGAGCCCGTGGCATTCATGGGGGGCAGAAGATATTGAGGGTTCTGGACCCATGTGGGGCAGAGGCTGAGCCAAATGCAGGGAGAAAGACAGGCAGATCTAGAACCCTTCACGGTAGCTGGTGTTTTGGTGCATGCTGAATCTTGGCCCTCAAGAGGCTGAGGCAAGAGGATCACTGTGAGGCTGAGGCCAGCCTAGGCTGCCTAGTGAGTTTACCACCAGTCTGAGCTGTATAGTGACACATCTTCTCAAAAAAAAAAAGAACCAGCTTGGCTTGTTAAATGCCCCCTTATCTGTCACACACCTATTGTCCCAGCTGTCTTGGAGCCTGAGGCAGGAAGATCCCAAGTTCAAACCCACTTTGGGTGATTTAGCATCTTAGCTAGACTCTGCCCCCCCCCCTCATTTTTTTTAAAGGGCTCCGGATGTAGTTCCGTGCAAGACTCTGGGTTCATTCCCCAGTAACCCTCCCCACCAATAAAGCACCCCTGCACTTCCCTGAGGTCACTTCCAAATGGCCTCTGACCTTTTTTCTGGTTTTGGGAAGCTGTCTCTTTTCCCCCAAGTCTCCCCCATCCTATCCTGTCCCCTGTAATGGCACAGTTCTTCCCACTGCACACCCACCCCCGGGTGGACCTGGATGTCAGGAAGGAAAGTGGCCCCTGCTCCGCGGGGAGCGGGGGAAGGGATGCTCTGGGGAAGCGGCTCCTGTTTACGCGGCTCTCCAGCTCCTGCTGGCAGGCTCCGCGGGTAACCATGGCAATCAGGTGAGAAGCCAATCAGTGCTTCCTCCACCCCCACCCCGAGGTGGCCTTCCGCTGTCTCCTGGGATGGGAGGGGGAGCAGGAGGTGCGCTGCCGCTTTCCTCCTGGTCCGGAGGAGCCTGGGGGGCCGGGAGTAGTCTTATTTCTGATCGGAGGTAGAGGGTGAGGGGTGCAGCCACGTGCGGTGGGGGCGCCTGTGTGGACCTAAGTGTTTTGCAAACACAAAAGAGTTTGAATGAGGCAGCTGAGGCGGTGTGAAGAGCCTGCGGTGCGTAGGGGGCTTGGGTGTGTTGCTCACCCAGTCTGCCGTGTGTCTCACGCATATCCTGCAGACACATCTGGACGCAGCCACACTGAGTGTCTGCGGCCCCGATGACACATCCGCACGCGGTGGGGATCCCACACACTCCAGAGACAGAAGTTGTTCTCTCCTTGGGATGGTTGTAATAATATTTGGGCATCTTGCCAGGGACAGGGTTACTATGGAAACCCCCAAACAGTGGAGTAGCCAGCGGCCTCCTGGGTAATTGTACAGGGAACCCATGCAGGGAGGGCTGGCCAAGGCCACCCTGTGTGGGGCAGAGCCTCCTCTCCTTGCTCAGGCTGGGACTGCTGGGTCCCGCAGCTGCCTCTCGCTTCCTGGTCCCCCCTCTGTCACACTGCATTTTGGTCTTTCTCCCACGTGTGCCCTTTGTGTCTCTCTGCTGCTCTGTCTCTGGCCAGGTGCCCTGGGCTTCTGCTGGCTGTTTGGGACCTAGCCAGACTCATCCTGGGGTCTCTATAGAAACTGCTGATCCTGGCTGTGAATTTTGTGTCCTCCAGAACTCAGGGTTGTGGCTTTAGAAATCTTTCTGGAAGAGAGAAGGGTGTGAGCTAGTGCTAAAGGAACTGCTGGGGCTTGGCTACTGTCCCACGTCCCTCCCTGGGCTTTCTTGCTGGGAAAAGGAAAAGGAAGGTGGCCTGGCTGTCTGGCCACAGGTTGGATCTATCCCGAGGCATTGGCACTGAGGCACATTTGGGACTGCCCCAGGTAGACATCTCGGCCCTGCCATCCTGGCCAGGGCTTGGGCAAGTTGGGGACAGGTAGCACCTGGGTCCCCAGGGCTGGAAATGGTGACAGTGCCTGTATGGGGAAATTCCTCTTGTGCATAGAAGGGAGGCCCTGGATATGTGTGCTTGTGGGCACTGCCCAGTGGCTAGGTGCAGGGGAAGGGATTCCCATGCCCAGGGCACTCACAGTCATATTGGCCTGGGCTCCTGGACTGCAGGGTGGAGCTCAAGTTGAGTGTTCCCAGCCTGGGGCATGGGAGGGGCATCCTCTGTGCCACCTGGGTGCCAGGCATGGGAGCCAAGCGGTCAGTGCCTAATGGCTTTCAGGGAGCTGCCTGTACCTGGCAGCTTCAGAGGAGCGTGGTGCTAAGGTGAGGGCTGCACACACAGCCAGTGACTTAACAGTGCGTGTCACCTCCCTCCTCGGGTGGTCAGGCCATGGCATTTTCAGGGAGGCTTCCTGGAGCAGAAAGGAGAGGCCTCACTGTGTGGCCCAGGAGCCGGCTATTGGGGTGGCAGGGGTGGGAGACTTCTCCCCTTGGATTCCTTAAGGTCAAAGGCAGGGGCTTATTATGGCTATTCCTAGAGCTTCTTACTCCATAACCACTTGGCCACTTGATGGGGATGGGGATGGAGGAGATGTTTTAAAAACTAGGCAGGGGCTAGCTTGGGGCAGAGTAGTTGCTTAATATATACAAGGCTCTGGGTTCAAGCCCAAGCACCCTTCTCAGTTTTGTGCCTACCCCACAGCCCCACAGCCCCTGTAGAGTTTTCTTTCTTATGGCCAGACTGGGGATTTTTTTTTTTTT